CCCCCACCCATTCTCCTATCCACACCCACCCTATTTCAGGGGGCGGGCAGGTCCGAGGCCTGAGCTGGGCACGTGCGTCCCAAACCACCAGTGAGCGATCCGGATAGCGCGCCCGCCCTCGCCCCGCCCCCTTCCGCAAGCAATAACATCCTCACCTCCTCCCAGACTTCCAAGAACCTTGACCAGTGGCGCTCACTCAGAAGACCAAAGCCACAATGTCACTGCGAGACTGCCAGGTACGTGCACCCCTTCGGCTGGGTCCTCCTCGTCCGGGAGTTGGCCCCGTGCTGAACAGTCGGGATCCAACCTGCCGGTCACCCGGGAGTCAGGCAGAGAACCTGGTCTAAGTGCTCTGTGTGGAGGGGACTCGGAAGTGGTTCCCAGTCAGGGACGCTAGTGAAAGCTTGTGCACTGGGCTTGGCTCCGGGAACCGTTCATTGTGGCCCCCCCACCCCCGGGCCTGGACCTTGAGCCCATTTTTCAGATGAGGAAGATGAAGGTCGGAGCAGCCAGTGGACTTGTCCTGGTAGGTGCAGCCTTATGCTCACCAGGACTGAAGGACAAGGCGAACACCCAAGGGAGACATTTCAACCGTGTGTCAGGTCACCGAGGGCAGCTATTGTAATCTGAAGATTTTCCAACTGCAGGCTTGGTCCTACTCCTCCCATGCAATATTTGAGGAGCTGCTAGGTGTTAGCAGGTAGTTCACACCTTGCTAAGCAGGTCACAAGCCAAACATCCCCGAAGTTGCACTTTCTAACACTGACCTCCTCCACCCGGGGCCAGGCTTGCTGCCACTCCCGATAATGGCTTTCCCATTTGCTGTCTGCGTTGGGGCTGATACTTGGAACTCGCCTCATTGGGCCCCCTGGCGTATTTTACAGAGTGGTAACCTAGGGTCTGGGGGCTCCTACCAGTCAAACCCTTGTATTCCTTTCCTGTTGTGTGTAGGCGTGGAAGGATGCTGGCCTCCCACTCTCAACCACAAGCAATGAAGCCTGCAAGCTGTTTGATGCCACCGTGACCCAGGTATGCCGGCCAAGAGACTCGTGGTCCTCCTTGAAGAGTTCTCAGGAGGGATTTCTAATGGTGAATGGTCTGTAAATCCCACCACGGTAAAGAGCTGTCCTTTGCCTCACAAGTCCAACAGCATGGGAAGTGTCTCTTGCTGGCCCTGGCAGCCCTATCCTCAAGGTCCCTAGTTCAAGGGAGGACAGCAATGGATGCCCTAGGGGGGCCTGAAAATGTGGAGACAGGTGTCCCACTGTGGCCTGTTGAGGGTTTGCTGTGGGCTCTGCCAGGAAAGGCAAGGGGTCCAGTTCTGAGGCTCACCTCTCATTGGCTGGCACAAAGAAGACTTTCCACCCATTCCCATGCACTGCCACACCAGTGAAGAATCCTGTAGCTTGGGGACTTTTTTTTTTTTTTTTTTGCCAGATGGGATAATGGAATTGAACTGACTTGAGTCAAAGGTCAACCAGGAGGTCAGAGGGCAGAGCCAAGGTTACCTGGGTCTGAAGGCACAGGCAGAAAGCAAAAGCCGTCCTTCCCATCTTCTAGCCTTCCCATCTCTAACTGTAATGAACACTGGCTTTTCAGTTTGTTTGGGTTTCACACTGGCCTCGAACTTATAGCAAGCCTTCCCACTCAGTCTCTGGGATTATGCATGTGAGCCACCATACCAGGTCGACTGTGGTCATTTCTGAGAGAAATGAAACAGGAATTGTGTGAATCCAGGGATCTTCTTAGAGCATAAGAAGAGGACATGCTACATCTCATCTCTTGGGAAGGACCTACTTTTCCACAGTTCTTTTCTGGCAGGGAGCATTCCCAGCCCTAGGAGGTGTCATCCTCCAAGACCAATTAAGTTATACCTCTTTTGAATTAGGGTCCAGAAAGCACTCGGTGTTCTAGAAAGAAAAATAACTCAGGTCTGGGACTCCTTCCATATTAGAGCTTGTGTGAAACCCCAAGTTTGATCACCAGCACTCTTGGCCAAAAAAATCTGAGTTTAGATCCTTTCACTGATATGATCTAAGGGCCGAGAAGACAGACTTGATTTGCATTTCTCATTCCAGTATGTCAAGTGGACCAATGACAAGAGTCTTGGTGGCATTGAGGGATGCCTGTCAAAGCTCAAGGCAGCAGATCCAACCTTCGGTGAGTAAAGCTCTCCCCAGGCAAAGAAGGGCCAGTCACACTCCCTGACTTTAGGGACTCAATTGTCACTTAGCTGGGAGGGCACACTGGAGGCAGTGGCTGGATTGACACTTGTAGAGAGGGGCGAAGCAGTGTTTGAAGCAGCGGATGCCATTTCTATAGAAGGCTCTAGATCAGTGGTTCCCAATCTTCCTACAGCTGTGCTGCAACCCTTTAATACAGTTTCCCATGTTATGTTTGCCAACTATAAAATCACTTTGTTGCTACTCCATGACTATAATTTTGCTACTGTTATGAGTCATAATGTAAATATCTGTTTTTCGATAGTCTTAGGTGACCCTCATGAAAGAGTCACTCAACCCCTAAAGGGGCATGACCCACAGGTTAAGAACCACTGCTCTACATCTTTTTTCTAATAACTATCATCAGTTTGACATAAGACAGTGCCAACTGTATTTTAGATGAGGACACTGAGGCTCAGTGAAAGTGAGACACATACCCAAATCTAGTTGACTCTCAAGCCCAGAATCCTAGAACACAAAAGATGGCTCCTGAAACCTTTGCCAGGGGTCTCGGGACTCAAGACACCTCTGGAGCCGCTAGAGCTGGGTGGCAGAAGACAGAGCCTGGTTCGTGGGAAAGCCTTGCATGTAAAAGGCTGGGGGAGGTCAGTCCAGTATACTTCAGAATCCCAGATGGGTGGCCCATGTGTAGGGTGAGGTTCCTGGGATTTGAGAAAACTTACAAAAGACAATGTTAGCAACATTCTTTTTTTTTTTTTTTTTAAGATTTATTTATTTGTTATTTACACAGTATTCTGCCTGCATGTGTGCCTGTACACCAGAAGGGGGCACCAGATCTCAAGATAGATAGTTATGAGCCACCGTGTGGCTGCTAGAAATTAAACTCAAGACCTTTGGAAGAACAGGCAGTGTTCTCAACCACTGAGCCATCTCTCCAGCCCCCCTGTTAGCACCAGTCTTAGCACCTGCAGCAGTGTGGCCAAGCTAAAGCCAAGGGCACTATTACTGCTCTGACAAGGACTGAATGAGGAGAGACTCAAGAGAAAAGCAGGGCAAGCTAAATGCTGCCATAAGGATAACAAGTGGTCAGAGTGGACTCGGGGACAATGGCTGGGGTAGAATAGTATTATGGTTCTTTTTTCCAAGCCAGTGTCAGGGGTGCCCTGTCTTTCTTAAGCCGAGTCTGGGGAGTAGGGAGGGCCTGGGACTTCCAGCCTTCAGTAAGGACTACCTACTCCACCACCCTGTGCCAGGGCAGGGCAGCAGGACAGGATCAGAGCGTGGGCCCCAGGGACTTGTTGACTAAGTTCCCTGAAGAGCATTCACTGAACATCCCAGGAGGCCTGGGCTGGTTATATCAATAATGGAAGCCTATGGACCAGTTATCAGCTTCTGCCAGGCTCCTGAGGGCAGAGGAAAGTACTTCAGACCTCGGGGTTCAACATAGAGGCCAGTTAAAAAATAACCTCTGTTACTTGAGAAATGCGGTTTGTCCACTGCCTGCTGAAGGCCAGGCAGGGTTAAGCGCCAGGTTTTGATAAGGGCCTCACACACAGCAAGGCTCCTACCAAGCCTCGAGAGCGAACCCATACCCAGCCTGGCTCACACTTTCATGGGGTGTGGGGCTGGGCGAGGCTGAGTGACCAGCTGTTTTCCAATCTTCTGTCAGCCATGGGCCATGCCATCTCTAACGGCCTTGTGCTCATTGGCACGGGAAGCTCCGTGAAGCTGGACAAAGACCTGGACCTGGCAGTGAAGACGATGGTGGAACTTTCTCAAAGCCAGACTCTGACACCTCGGGAGCAGCTGCATGTGTCTGCGGTGGAGATGTTTGCCAAGGGGTGAGGGGTCTCCCTGGACCGGGGGTTGGGACTCTAAGCCTGTGCAAGCTGGTGCCTCAGAGCTTGAGAGGGCTTCTCACCAGCCTGTTGCTCTGCCCTAAGCTGAATGCTGAATGAAGAAGTATTTATCGAGGGTTCCCTGTTTAGGGTTCAGAATAGCTTATTATGGTTCACTAACATGGTTGTTATTTTAATTACAACACCCAGGAAAGAGAAGGAAACAATTGGCCCTTTTGCTTCTTACTCAAGAGGCTGTACTCATCAGCCTCCTGTTGTTGCAACAAAATACTGGAAACAATAAATTCATAGGGAAGAAAGGCTTGTTTTGGCATATGGTTTCAGAGGCGTCAGTCCATGGGAACTTACTCATGGTTGTGAGGCGATGCTTGCAATTGCGTGTCAAGGCAATGCTTTATGGTAGTAAGGGGTAGCAGAGGAAGCTACTTACCTCATAGTAGCCTGGAAAACCAAGAAGGGCCCAAGGTTCCCTTCAAGGGCGTGCTCCCAGTGACCTAACTTAATATCACCGGTCCCAAACTCCCACTTTCCAACAGCACCACAGGCTGGCACACCCAGCCTTCAACATACAAGTCTTTAGGGTATGTGTTCAGGATTCCAATGCTGCGTGCCTCAGCGTTGGACCAGACCGTTCTCTGCCTCCACTCCCACAGTCCTCCAGGGTGGTCCCTCTGTCTGCTTGGGCAGGTGAGGTATCCCTTAGAGCAGATACCTCAAACTGATTGTGAGGAATCTCAGGGGCATAGAGCAAGAAAGTCCCATCAGTTTCTGGTGACTTAGTATAGACGCAGGGTTCTCAAGTGTCCCATGATGTCAGGGATAAATTGTCCTTGGCAGTTGGTTAAGCCTCCTTTTCTGGGCTGAAGAGATGGCTCAGCTGATAAAGTTCTTGCTACACAGGTTTAAGGATCTGAGTTCAGATGCCCAGCACCTAGGCAAAGAGCCAGGCATGGTGATGTATTCTATACCCCCCAGACTGGGGAGGAGGAGACAGGCAGGTCCCTGGAGCTCACTAGCTGACCGGTCTGGCTGAACTAGAAAGATCCAGGTTCAGTGAGAGACTGTGGAAATAAGAGGGAGGTCGACTGAAGGAGACACCTGCTACCTGGCCTTCACATGAGACAAACGTGTCTTCCCCTTCCTTCTTTTAAAGAATTTGTTTTTATATCATGTGTCTGAGTGGTTTGCTTATATTTATGTCTGTGTACCCCATGTGTGCCTGGTGCCCACGGAGACTTGGAGAGGGCACTCTCCAAGGCACTCTGTAACTCCTGGAATTGGAGTTACAGATTTTTACAATATTTATTTATTTAATTTATGTGTATGAGTGCTCTGTTTTCATGCACACCAGAAGAGGGAATCTGGTCCCATGATGGATGGTCGTGAGCCACCGTGTGGCTGCTGGGAGTTGAACTCAGGACCTCTGGAAGAGCAGACAGTGCTCTTAACCTCTTAGCCATCACCCCAGCTCCACAGATGGTTTTAAGCTGCCCTCTGGGTGCCAGGAACTAAACCTGGGTCCTCTGCAAAAGCAGCACGTGTGGTTAGCACTGAGCCGTCTCTCCGGCTCCCCTGCTTTTCTTCTTAAAACTGCATGGGAGGGTAAACTTTCTCCCTGGCGTTTGAGTTTTGGGAGGTACAACCTAACATAGAAAACATGTACATATATATGTCTATAATATTTTCTTTCTTTTTCTGTGCGGGGCTGGGGATGGACCACAGAGCCCTGCCTGCTAAGCAAACTCCCACATCTCTAGCTCTTGATGGAACTTCTTTTCCTTAACTGGAAACATTTTTTTTTCTTTTTACTAATTGCTATTAGTAAACAAAGTAATGGGTGCTATCACGCTTTGTTCTTATTTACCACCACAGGGACTGTATGGCCTCAATCCCCTGCCCCGCCCTAGCCCATTTGCTTCCTCCCCCACAAGAGTGTCCCTCTGAGTCCATGTCACACATAGCCTGTCTGTTGCTTTTTCTATTTCCTCCCCACTTCAGATTGCATCACATCTTAGTTTTGGGACCCGTGTGTGACACACATGCGTAACTATAATTTTTGATATATTTTAATTCTTACTATTTTATTAATTTTGTGTGCAGGGGGGGTGTTATAGTGTGTGTACACATGTCTGTGTTTGTGAGTTATGCATGTGCCCTTGTGCTCAGAGGCAAGAGAAAGATGTCAAGGGTCCCTTCCTATCACTCTCCATCTTAATCCCTTGAGACAGGGTCTTTCACTGAACCTAGAATTCATGTTCTTTCAGCTAGACTGGTGGCCAGCAAGCCACAACAGCCTCCCCCTCTTTCCATGCTGCCCCCAGCACTGGGGTTACAGGACTATGACCATGCCTGAATTTTACTCGGGGTACTGGGGATTTGAACTCAGGTCTTCATGCTTGTGCAGCAAGTACTCTTACCCACTGGGCCATCACCCCAGCCCCAGATATAATTGTTTAAAGCTGTTCATTCAGATAGTAACAGAGGATGGCTTTTCAGTGGACGTGGGCTTCATGCTCAGTGTGTTCTTGGCTTCCAGGAACTTACCCAAAGCCTGTGATCTCTGGGAACAGATCCTCCAGGACTACCCGACAGACATATTGGCCTTGAAGTTTTCCCACGATGCCTTCTTTTACCTGGGCCGCCTGGAGCAGATGCGGGATTCCGTGGCTCGAGTTTACCCGTTCTGGAGCCCTAAGATCCCCCTTTACAGGTACATGCCAGTAAGAAACCACATCACTTCGTTCTTCAGCTTCTCTCCTCTGCCCTAGAAGCATAGAAATTCTATAGGCCACAGCCTAAAGCTAGTGAGACTCCTGCTGCTAATCTAAAAGGCTTCCTTTACTTCATTTGATCTTCATCCCATCCTGCCAATAAGGTAGTATCATTGTGTGTCAGTTACGTAAGATTCTTTCGTTGCAATAACAAACATCCCCGAGATTACATTCCCCAAAGATTAATACCCATTCTTCATGTCCACCATTAGTTTTAGAAATTTTAAAATAGGACAACAGTGATCAGGTTGCTGCCCACTGCATCATACCTCAGTTCTGTCTGTGAACCCCCTGTGTCCAAACACTGTCACATATAAGCCCGGGGTATGAGGACTCTACACTATCCTGCAGGGAGACTCCATCCCACCTCTTCATCTTCCTGGGTACTGAAGTCTTTTCTCGGTTTTCAGCTACGTGAAAGGCATCTATTCTTTTGGACTGATGGAAACCAACTTCTATGACCAGGCAGAAAAGCTTGCCAAAGAGGTGAGTGGGTCCTTCTCGAGGTGTGAAGCCCTTCAGGCTATGACTCCTCACGATGCAAACCAAGCAGCCCGGCTGCCCCACCTTGGAGTTTCCTCATGGATTGGGAGGGGCTGGTGTTAGGGCAGGCAGCTGCCTGCTTATCACTCCTTTAATCCTTCCAAGGTCCCTAGAGCAGGTGAGGCAGTGAGGCTCAGGGAGGTGGTGGCTCCTGCATTCAGGGATCACCAGGGTGATGACTCTGCTTGCCTGAGGCTTGAGGTGGGTGAAGATTTTAAACAAAAGTTTCCTAGGTCAGGGCCTGATCATATTATGCTCTCTCTTCCTGAATAGAGAGGTCTCTGTCTCTGTCTCTCTCCTCTCTCTCTTGTTTTTTGTTTGTTTGTTTTGTTTTTGTTTTTTGAGACAGGGTTTCTCTGCGTAACCTTGGCCACTTCCTGGACTCATTTTGTAGACCAGGCTGGCCTTGAACTCACATCGATCCACCTGCTTCTGCCTCCCTGAGTGCTGGGATCACGGGTGTGCACCACCATGCCGGACTAAGCAGAAGGGTCTTTACCCTGCCCACAAGCTTGTTTCTTATCCTTCACTCATCACTTGGGGTGCCTGTCAATGAGAGGAGTGGACCCAGTGTGGAACCTGCTAGGTGCTTCAGTGTCAGGCCCTGTGTTCTGTTTTTTGCTGGGATGTGTTGGCTGACCTGGAACTCTGGGGATGCCCCTGTAGACCTGGATCCAGGGTCAGGTGACAGGCCCGGGTGCAAGGTGGCTCAGGCTCTGGAAGTCTTTCTCTGCCACTCTTATCCTTACAAGAGTAGAAACTAAGGTGCAAGGAGGCATTGTCACATGTAGAGAGAGACAAACGCTATTGGTCCAGGTTCACAACTGGCACTTTGCACACACCTGGTCCCCCTGATAGTCTCTGTCCACACTGTAAACACCTTAGTGCCCGGAGAAGAGAGCTGCAGCTCAGAGAGAGAGGCTAGGCAAAGCCCCCCCCCCCCCCCCGCCATGGTGCTAAAGCTCAGGGGTCAGATCTTCACCTCACCCACTTGACAAGAAGGCTGTCCCTTAAACTGCCTGGACTAGATCCCGGCTTCCCTGCATCCCTGCTGTGGCTCCCCACCCAGGCATGACAGCATCTTCGGGGTGTCTGAAGGTGGCCTGAATCAGACTCAGTCTGGATTCAGGGGTCAGGGGAAGGGTTTTTATTGTTGTTGTTGTTGTTTCTTTAGCTCCTTGGCCATCTAAGCTCTATGATCACCAGATACTCCATTCATAGCTAAGCCACAGGAAGGCCCCTCTGGTTGGGGGAGCTACCTGGGCGACTGAAGTAGCTCTGAGTGGCACTGTGGCAAGCTGACTCCAAAGAAAGATGGCCAAGGATGCAGTCTCAAGTCTTAGAAGAAACAAGATGTAGCACTATAGCATGCCCACCCCCATTGTTCTTTCTCCTGCCCCTTGCCCCAGCTCTCCTGGTGCTACAGGCCACATTGATCTTAGCCACAGACCCCACAGACAACTTGCTAGGTATGAAGACAGGGCTATAGCAATGTCCCCCAGGTTTCCACAAGGCGAGGGTACACCACACCAAGCTCCACTGGACTACAATGACTTCATAAGGTGACATCCAGCCCAGCATATCAAACTCAAGTGTAAGGGGCTGGCAGAGAGTTGGTGTCTTCCAGGAAACCTTGCAAGGGCTCCAGTTGAGTGAGGATGCTGGTCATCCCTAGAAACAGAAAGAACAGAGCTGAGTCATATTTCTCAACCACCCTGTGTGAAAGCAGCTCTCTTAGAGGGGTTCTTTAAAGGGGTGCTGGTGCCTGGCATGCTCAGGACGCACCCTGAGACGTCCCCAGCTGTCCCAGCACTCAGGCCCTCTGCCCCAAGGCACTGCAGACATGCTGTGTGACCCTTGTCTTCCCACATGGAGTGGATAAGAATGTGAAAGCTAAGGGGCAGGACAGGAAGTCAGAGACTGCTGGTGACATGCTGCTGAAATCCTTTCAGCAGGTGGTCAGGCCAGTGCGGAACACCCACAATTCCAGACACTGGGGAAAGCAGGCCTAAGGGACCCATGATCTGGCATGGGTCTCTGAGTATAAGCCAGTGATGGGCCCAGTGAGCCCCAGTTTACTGATTCATGTCTAGGACTTAAACGTGAACTGACCTGGTGAGTAGATGGACAAGGAGGTGAGAGCCATTCCATGTGTCCCTCTGCCTTATTGTGGCTCATGTAGATTTTGTCGTTAATAACAGTGTTTCTAGAACCAGTGGCTTCTACTCAGGAAGTCACCTGTGTAACCATCTCCTGAGTGTAAGTGGGAGGAGCAGCGTCTTGCCATTCAAGACCAGAGGATGTGAAAGTCAACACTGTTCTTATAGCCCTGAAAGGAAGGCAGCCCCAAAGGCCATCATGGGAAACTGAGGCATGGAGCTCCTGGGTAGAATATTGCAGATGACTTGGATGTATCCAGGAAGCAAATCCTGGCCTCTTTGAGCCTCAGTTTCCTCAAGTGGCCGGCAGAGATGCCATCCTTAGCAGCCTGCTGTGGTGGGTAAGGCACGCTGAAAACAGGGCTGGTGTTGGGATTATAATTATTCTGAATTAGAGCCCAGTTCCTACTCTTGCCCTTGCTGGGCCCAGGCAACCAGGCTAACCCCCATTATCTTTGTCCTCTCATCTCTTACTGCATGTAGGCTTTATCTATTGAGCCGACGGATGCGTGGTCAGTGCACACTGTTGCCCATATACATGAGATGAGGGCAGAGGTCAAAGACGGGCTGGAGTTCATGCAGCGTACTGAAGGCCACTGGAAGGTATGAACTGAGTTTTGTTGGTGGTCATCGTCTGGGCGACCCAGTCTGACACCTGGAGTTCCTCCAAGCTTTGCTGGGTGGACTTACGGATGTGGCTTAGCTCCCCAGGAGCTTAGGTTCAGCGTGGAGTCAACCCTGACAGCCAAGGATCCTCTGGGAGCCCCATAGCACCCCAACACCTACTAGGATTTAGAAGTGATTGTACAGTTGGTGTCTGCCTGAGGCATTTTTGCTGTGAAAGGGATGTATCCAAAGGGTGCTGGGGAAATAAGGGCCCAGCTGGGGTGGGCATGCTTAGGGCCCTGAGTTGCATTGCTTTTGCTGCTGCCAGCAGGGAGCACATGACGGAGTGGGTGGGAACGAGGCAGGCTGATGGGGTGATGGTTCACTGATGGTAGGGCTGGCCTATGGGGTTAGAGCAATCCAGACCCCTAGTGCCCAGCATGAGACCCCTCCCATGGCCTGAGCACTCTGTGCTCTCATTATTCCTATTTCCTATTCCCAACTTTACCCATCCCTGCTCCTGACTGGCTGCCGCCATTTCCCCCTTGCCCACCATGTGTGTGCCTGTTTTCCCTAGACTTGCCTCTGACACATGACCTGGCCACCTGTCCGGGTTTCCTTTCTGCCCTGCCTTCTGTACCACAGGAGGCCGCAAGGACACTGCCAGCTAGGGCAGTAGGTCCTTTCCTGAGCCTGGCACTGAGTAGTAGATGCTGAAGGCTGGACACCGTGGCCACCATCATCCCTCTGAGCAGTTCCCTGGGCAAGGGCTTTGACTGACAACCAGGCCAATTCCCAGCATCTCCAGGCATGGTTCTAGGTGCAGCTGGCTAACAGGGAGGTATATGAACATGCAGCCCATTCTAAAGATGTCCAGACTCCAGGGTCTTGAAAATTCTCGAGGGCACCAAGAACCTAAAGCCAGAGAAGCTACTTTTTGCTGGGGCTCCCCAGGCAGATTACTGCAAGGTTCTGTGGGTAAAGAGGAGCACGGGGGTGGGGAGCACTAATTGGTCTCATCCTCTGGTTGGCCTGGCTTCCTTGTTCACATTCTTTCCCCAGAACATACACACATTCCCCCCACCTCTGCTTGTGTGTGTGTAAGTACATGTGTGCGAATGTGTGTGTGTATCCATGTGTTTGTACATGTACAGGTGGACCTATATGTGGGTGTAAGTGCACTTATATATGTGTGTATGTGGAAGCCACATTGTCATTTCTCGGGTGCCATCTACCTCAGTTTTTGAGCAGGGTTTTCCCCTAGCATCTGGAGCTTACTGATTGGGCAAGACCGGCTGGCCAGAAAAACCTCAAGGATCCCTCTGTGATTACAGGCATACACTGTGTGTCCAGCCTTTGCCTTGGTGAGGGGCGCCAAACTCAGGACTTTACGCTTACATAGCAAACATTATACCAAGTGAGCATCTCTCCAGCTCAGCTTTGAACTTCTGAACCTCTGTTTCCACCTCCCTGGTCCTGGGGTCACAGCTTATTACATGTTGGGTTCAGGCATGATAACTGTCGGCCCAGCCTACAGGGGCTCAGACATTCTTTCATTCTTTCTGCAGGACTCTGATATGCTCGCTTGCCATAACTATTGGCACTGGGCCCTGTACTTGATTGAGAAGGTAAGATGCTTGTTTCTTTGGATTGTCTCACCAGTGCAGCTGTCCAGAGAACAGGCAGTTCCTAGTCCCCTGCTATATATCTGACTTCCATGCAGCACCTTTGTGTGTTGGTACAGATGGTGTCTTGTTAGGGTTTCTATTGCTGTGATGTATCTCCATGACCAAAAGCAAGTTGGGAAGGGAAGAGTTTATTTAGCTAACATTTCCACGTTATAGTCCATCACTGAGGGAAGGCAGGACAGGAACTCAAACAAGGCAGGAAGGAACCTAGAGTCAGGAGCTGCTGCAGAAGCCATGAAGGAATGCTGCTTCCTGACTTGCTCCCCATGGCTTGCTTGGCCTGCTTTCTTATAGAACCCAGGACTACCAACCCAGGGATGGCAACACCCACAATGTCGTACAGGCCTGCCTACAACCTGGCTTTATGGACGCAATTTCTTAATTGAGGTTCCCGCCTCTCAGATGACTCTAGCTTGAGTCTACTTGACATAAAACTCTCCACCACAGATGGGGTCTTAAGCAGTACCGCACTCATATTCCAAGAGCTTTTCAGGCTGCACTCCTCAAAGATATTTTCCACTCTTGGGAAGTAGAACTCACATGACTTAGTTACTTTTCTATTGCTGTGATAACACACTGTGACCAAAGAAACTTGCAGAGGGAAGGATTTATTTGGCTTGGGGTTCCAGAGGCATAAGAGCCTCTATCACAGTGGGAGACATGGCAGCAAGCAGCAAACATGGCAGCAGGAACTGGATGCACTCATCTCATCCAAGCGCAAAACAGCATGGACTGAGCCTAGGGTGAGGCCTTGAGCTCTCAAAGCCCATCCCTAGTGACATACTTCCTCCAGCAAGGCTGTACCTCCTAAGCCTTCACAAACAGTGCCACCAACTGAAGATCAGGTATACAGACTTCTGAGCCCATGGGAGACGCTCTCATTTACACCACCACAGGGGGTTTGGAGCCAAGTGCTTGGGGTGCAGGGAGGGTCTCAGACTGGACCTATGGCACCAGAAACTCTTCTAGGATGAGAGGGGGTAGGGACAGATGATGGAGATGGGCAGTGTCCCATTTGTCAAGGTGCTTCTCATGGCATTGTTACCATAGAGACATGGAGGCTCCTAGCTCACCTTCTCCTCTCTCTACACCGGGCTGCCACTGAGCCTTGCCCATCTCCCTTAGTGGGAGCCTTGATCAGCTATCCCTGGTGTATTTCCAAGCATCACTTTTTGACTTCTCCAGATGTTAATCATGGCAATGTCACCTTTGCAGGGAGAATATGAGGCCGCACTAACCATCTATGACAACCACGTGAGTGCATTTATATCATTTATAGTTAGCTGCTACAGTCTGCCTTCGTCTCTCATAGCCTCTGGGCCTGTTGGCATCGTCCTGGCCAGAGCAAATGGTGTTAGAATGCCCCCATCTCGCTGATAAGACTACATGGGATTGGCTGTTGTCAAGAGCCATGTCCGGACTCAGTGTATCATGGAGCCTTTGCTGACTATTCACCCATGGTGTTTGGAGACTGACATGTCTAAGGCCGACTCTGTTTCTGTCCTTTCAGGTGAATGTTCTTTTTTTTCCCACTAGAGACAGGGTTTCTCTGTATGACCCTAGCTGTTCTGGAACTCTCTTTGTAGACTAGGCTGGCCTCAAACTCACAGAGATCCACCTGCCTCTGCCTCCCGAATGCTAGGATTAAAGGCATGTGACACCACCTTTCAGCATAGATAGTTGTTCTTCATGAGGTAATTCATCTGTCCATAGGATTTTTTGTTTATATATTTTTAACTTTAAGTCAGAAACAAGGGGATGGAGAGATGGCTCAGTGGTTAAGAGCACTGGCTGACCTAGAACTCACTATGTGGACCAGGCTGGCTGTGAATTCACAGAGATCCATCTGTGTCTGCCTCCTGAGTACTAGGAACAAAGGTATGCACCACCATGCCTGCCTCTGACTTTTTGAGATTTATTTATTTTTAAGGGTATTGGTGTTCTGCCTGCATGTTTGTGTAAGGGTGCCAGATCCTCTGGAACTGGAGTTACAGACAGTTATGAGCTGCTATGTGGGAACTGGGAATTGAACCCAGGTCCTCTGGAAGAACCATTGACCCATCTCACCAGACCTGTTTGCTTTTACTGTTACAAAATCTATGCTATAAAAATTAATCTAGTCATGGTGACAACATGCCTACAATCCTAGCTACCCAGGAGGCTGGTGCAGGAGGATTAAAAGTTCACAGTCTGAAGACTGGATAACTTAATATGACTCTGTCTCAGAATCAAAAGTTTTAAAAAGAGGCCTGGATATATCAGTGTTGGGATACTTGCTTAGCATGCATGGGATCTAAGGTTTCAACCCCATTATTACATGAAAAGGGAAGAAAAAGAAAAGTTGTGGGGCTAAAGAGATGGCCCAGTGCATAGGATCTGTTGTTCCAGAAGACCAAGGTTCAATTCCCAACATCCACATGGTAGCTTACAACTATCTGTATCTCCAGTTCCCAGAAGACCAGATGTCCACTTCTGTTCTCTATGGGCACCAGGCACACATGTGGTGCACAGACATATAGGCCAGCAAAACACTCATACATGTAAAATGAAGATGAAGATGATGAAATCTGTAGCATTGCATCATTAGCATATTGACTTTTCTGGGCCCATTGCACTGGCCAACTCCAGAACCTTCTGTCTCCCCAAATTCAAATTCCCCTCTCAGACCCTGGACATTCTTTGAGAGGAAAAGCTCCTAGGTGAGGTCTTAGTAATAAAACCTTAGCACAGGTGCTCATGAGATGGGGGTCAGAACACCAGAGGGAGACCTGCCAGACAGGAGTTGCTTGGAGGGGTCCTTTTATCATGATCGGCTTCTTAGAATGAAATGGAGGTGACAGGCACTGTGTGCTCTGGGCTGTAGGCAGGTCTCCCAGTGAGCAACGTTGAATCTAGAAACATGACCAGGCAGGATATGAGTCTCCTGCCAGAACAGCTGTGGGCATAGGGCTGGGGGTGGCAGTCGACAGGACACAGCAGTAACCCTGGGTACACAGTGGAGTGGGCATGTGTGTGTGTGTGTGTGTGTGTGTGTGTGTGTGTGTGTGTGTGTGTGTGTGTGTGTAAGCCCCTCATACATTCTGGCACCCACAGCTGCTGTAGTGGCTGTGATGGTCCTCATGGCTGGGGCACTGGGGATGAAGCTTATAGCTTGTGTTTGCTGAGGGCTTTCTCTGTGCAGGCCACACTCACGGCTCATTTGGCAATTCTGGCTGCTCCCATGGCCCTGTCACTATTTGGCCCTCTGAGCCTTCCATGGCCCTTGTCTTCCAGATTCTCCCCAGCGTGCAGACCAGTGGCTCCATGCTGGATGTGGTGGACAGCTGCTCCATGCTCTACCGTCTTCAGATGGAAGGTAGCTGTGTCTCTTCCCTCTCCCTACACCATGAGAGAAAGTGTGATTGCTGGTCCTGGGGGTGAGGCCTTGGGATGAATGAGCCTGACTGTAGCTTTGCATGCCAGGGGATGCAGCTGTCTCTGTTCCAGTGCAAGGCAGCTGACCTAGCCTCTACTGCCCTTTATTCTATTCTCCACCCCTCCTTGTTGTGGTAGCCTTCGGCTCTGAACCTTGCCATTCCCATAGCCTGCCTGGCAAACCTTTCAGGGTACAGGTGGTGTCTGGCTACTGGCTGGTGCCTCTTTTTCTAGATCACAGGGGGTGAGAATTTCCCAACCCTGACATTGCAGAGGCTTTCTAGGCTTCCCAGTTACCCTGACAGAGCTGGCTTTCTGCCCAGGCTGGAGGTCCAGGTGACACTCCACAGAGAGATGCTGAGGAAGGCAGGAACTCCAGAATCCCAGTACTGACTGGCTGGCAGGCTGAGAATAGCCTCTCATTCCCTCACTCATTCCCCTGCTGTTGTGAGGAAAAGATCACTTCAATATTTAAATTTTTATTTATGTATTTTTTTCTCAATGTATGAGTGCTCTGTCTGCATTCCAGAAGAGGGCATTTAGATCCCTTTATATGTCGTGAGCCACCGTGTGGTTGCTGGGAATTGAACTCAGGACCTCTGGAAGAGCAACCAGTGCTCTTAACCACTGAGGCACCTCTCCACAGGTACTAGGCTTGTGATTACCATAGGGGACATTTAAAACATGTTTTGAAGGTCTATCAGAGGAATAGTATGATAGCCTGAGGCAGTGTTTCAAATCTGCTTTTTACTTTGTGGATTTGCTGCTTTTTCAGGTAAACAAGGAGAGATTAGGCCTTGGTGGCCTCCCTCACCTCCCAACTTCTCACTGGGACAGGATTGGATGTGCTTTTGAGGGATGTGGGTTCAGGAGAACCAAGCATAAGATACACTGCTGCCTCACACCCTTGGCTTTTTTTTTTTTTTTTTTTTTTTTAATCCCCAGGAGTGTCTGTTGGCCAGCGGTGGCAGGCTATTCTACCTGTGACCAAGAAACACACTCGAGACCACATCCTTCTGTTCAACGATGCTCACTTCCTGATGGCCTCCCTGGGTGCACAGGACCTCCAGACCACACAGGAGCTGCTGACTACCCTTCAGGAAGCCAGCAAGTATGTGAAGCCCCGAGACCAGGAAGTTTGGGCCCAGCTGAGTGGATGAAGGGATGCAAGGGCTGAGCCAAGGCCTGCTAGGGGCTGCCCTGCCTTCCCGGGAAAACCTGAGAGTAAGGTCCTGCCGGCGAGCACAGCTTTGAGGATTCCCATGCTTCTAGGTGGGTATCTCAGTGTGGGCATCAATCACCACAGGTGTCTGACCTTCAGGGGTCCTGTGGGTGTCCTCAGGACACAGAGATGCCCTCTTTGCTCTGAGCCTCAGCTTCTTTATCTGCTGGGAATGGTGCCTTCCGGGCTGTCGAGGGCGGCCTGGAAAGACAGGTTGCTGCAGACACATTCTCTGATGGCGGTGGTAATGCTGGCTGTTGGTACCCAGACTTTGCCTGCATTACCTGCAGTCCTGACCTCTCTGCGAGGGCTGTGCTGTTACACCACTTTCCAGATAGATAAACTGAGGTGGGGGACAGGGAGCCCTGTCCTCTCCCTACACTGGGCAGATGCTTATGTCTCCTTTTCCCAGCAGAGTGCCATCAGGCAGCTGTGAAAGGCCCTAACTTTGGGTCCCTTGCCCAGCTGGGACTTTGTGAAGGTGGATATTGAGCTTTGGTCTTGGTGACAGGTCCCCAGGGGAGAACTACCAGCACCAGTTGGCGAAAGATGTGGGGCTGCCCCTGTGCCAGGCCCTTGTGGAGGCCAAGAATGGGAACCCTGATCGAGTCTTAGAACTGCTCTTGCCAATCCGCTACCGAATCGTCCAGATTGGGGGCAGCAATGCCCAGGTGAGCCAGCTGAATGAAGGGACCCAGAGGCTGGAGTGCTTGGCTGGGCAGCCAGGGGTCTCCTGTGTGGTCAGTACTCATGGGGTAGGAGTACTCTTGTTAAACGCTGCCACCAGGGTCCTCTGTGGAGGGTGATGTTTGTCTCAGCAGTTCCTTTGGGTTGGGAGCCCATCCTTGGTCTGAGTTGCATGTGCCTAACTTGCCTAACTGACATTATAGAGAGATGTCTTCAACCAGATGCTGATTCATGCGGCCATCAACTGCACCTCCAGCGTCCATAAGAATGTGGCCCGGTGAGCACCTTGCCCTTCCTATAGCCAGGCATGGGAGGGTCCCCTGAACATGGTGCCCCTCTGCATGCACCTGCCTTAGCATGTGTACTTCTGCCTTGGTGGCTTGGAAAGCAGGGAGCATACTGGGCCTTTGGTTCTCTTTCATTATCAGGCTCAACTTGACAAAGATAGCTAGTACTAAAACCCCTTTTTTTGGAGGTGGTGTTGAGACAGGGTTTCTCTATGCAGCCCTGGCTGTTTTGGAACTCACTCTGTAGACCAGGCTGCCTCAAACTCTGCCTCGGCCTCCTGAGTGCTGGGACTAAAGGACTATGTCACCACCACACAGCCAGTGCCACCCTTTTGCCCAGCCTTTGCCTTCCCAACCTTCTTCCCATTTTAACCACAGATAGCCAGTGCATCAGCTCTCAGGTCCTTGCATGTCTGTGCCCTCTTCCTGGGATACCCTGTCTTCTTTTTTTTTTTTTTTCTGCTCCATTAGGCCTCAGCTTACAGCCTCTTGCAGACCTGTGCTGGGTGTGGGATGCAGTACTGAGTAGGTAGATGGATATGAGCTGAGTGGAACCTCTCAAAAAGGCCAATTCATCACATGAACATCTGGACAGTCACATAATTGTGTTCAGGAGGAGAGGATGGTGGTGGAGCTGGTTAGGATGTGGAGGACCACACCAGGGACTCTACCTCAGACTGATCCTATTTTTACTTTCTTTAAATTAAGGCTTCCCTAATTCTTTCACTTGTTTATTTTCTGGACCAGTCTCATATATGGTTTCCTGCCAGATACTGTGTCTCTTGTCCCTCTCATCCTCAGCATTAATTAGACTGTGACAGGAGCATGGCCTATGAGGTTTGGAGCCATGGCTTCTTCTAAGACAGACAAAGCCACAATGATAGCCCTACACTGGAGTCCTCATCGCTACTGTTTATCTCTAGTGCAGAATCAAAGTACTGTCCAGCCAGCTGTACCCATCCTGCTCCTGCTGGCCATGCTTCCACATCCTTCTAGAAGGTTCTATAACGAACACTCTGTGTATTCCCACAGGAGTCTTCTGATGGAGCGTGATGCGTTGAAACCCAACTCACCTCTGACTGAGCGGCTTATCCGCAAGGCAGCCGCTGTCCATCTTATGCCGTGACCAAGGCCAGATCCTTGGCCTACAGCTCAGCACTGACCTCCTGGCATTAAGTTGACTAGCTGGTTGGGTTATTAGGATTGGGAAATAGCTGGGCTTACTTGTCAGAGAATGATGTTAAGTCCTGAGCAGACTTCTCCAAATCAAAATAGTTTGGTAGAAAGAGGGGATGCAAGTTAATTTTGAGTGGTGTTTGGAATTTCTCTTAGGGCCAACAAGCATTTTTTGGCCTCCAGAACCAAAGCAGTGCTATTATTTGCAGATGCCTTAAAACTGTATTTTCTTGTTCTGAGGCTGCAGACAGAGGTGTGCCCCCACCCATGCACACACCTGGTACTAGTGAAACCTTTTCATTTAGTTTTCCTTATAGTCTACATAGGTCCTGCTGTCCCATTTCCCTGGCGGGGGGGGGGGGGGGGAATTCCAGTGAGCTGCCTTGGGTCCTAGCAGAGGCTTTTCCTTTTTTAGCAGGAGAGGACTCTGCCTCACTGCCTTTGGTTGTCAGCCCCATACAGCTGCACCTGCCACCATCCCCAAAGATGAGGGCAAAGATGGCTTCTGTCTCCCTGGTGGATTTGGTGGTGACAGCTGGAGCTCCTCTTTAAACTGCACACAGGACTGAAGCTTGAGGGATATAGCTTTCTTGGGCAACTCTGATTCTTCTTGTATCTGTGGGTCTGAGACCCCAGCTTGGGGTTGCTCTGTTGTGGCAAATAACTGACATGGCCGCCACAAGATTTAAGCCTATCTGCTGCTTCTGCGACAGGGGCATTCCTCCAGGAAGTGCTGATACAGTCTTGCTGCTGTCCTCCAGAAGGGGCGGTGCAAGTGCAGAGATGCTCCTCAGGTTCCTTCAGTGCCCACTTGTGCAGGGACTGATGGGCATGTCTCCCAGAAGAAACACAGAGGTGTCCAAACTCATGAGCTTTGCTCAATCTGCTCAGAGTCCCTGCAGTCTGCTCAGGCCTGGACAGGTTCTGGGCATTAAAACAATTTAAGTCAATCCTTTGACTACTCACTCCTATGGCCACCTCTGAACCAGGTTTGGGTTGGGCCCTGGGGAGATGGGCTTCTCCTTTAATTTTCACTGGGTGGGGCACCAAGTCAAGAAATTGTGTAATTGCCATAGGGTTTTAAGAACTACTGTCTCTAAAATAAAAATTATATTTAAAAAAAAAAGGATGGGGAAGGGGGCTACAGCTGGGATACAAAATGAATAAACTGTAATTAATAAAAATAAAATAAAAGAACTACCATTTCCATGTCCAGAAACCCAGGACAGGTGCCATATACATACATTTATATATATATAATTATATATGTGTGTGTGTGTGTGTGTTTACCTGATTCCACATGACTTATCCAGAAAATGGAATCTTGCTTCTTCTTTCGGGACCCACTCCCACCTTGCCTGTCGGCTGGTGACAGTGCCTTCTCTTCACCCCACAGCCCCTGGCAACCTGCCCTTGTTATTACACCACTTTCTGTTGTGATCACTGGTCAGGAAGTGTGATCTCTGCATGACCCAGCCACCAGTGGCTTGCACTGAATATCTGTGAAAGCTAGGGTTCATGGGCTTTAATGAAGGAAGCCATGGGTCTAGCAGGGACATGCCATTAATTTAAAAGGAAAGGTGTGTGTGTGTCTGAAGAGGTGGCTCCATGGGTAAGAGCACTTGCTGGTCTTCTAGAGGACCAGAGTTCAGTTCCTAGCACCCATGTAGCAGCTCACAATTGCCTGCAACTCCAGCTTCAAGGGATATGACACCCTCTTCTGGCCTCTGCAGGCATTTGCATATGTGTATGCATGTACACCTTGACAAAAAAAAAAAAAAAGAAAAGAAAAGAAAAGAAAATACATATTAGAAGCCCAGAGAAAATGTATATAGCAGTGAGTTATTAACTTATGGGTATGCTTCACTGAATATCTGCTATGAAGCGATAGGATACAAAGAGAAGTGTTGGTGAACTTTCCTGTCTTATCCCAGCAGATAAACCCCAGGGATGGAGGGATTTAACACCTTGGAGGGCACAGAAAGAGTGGGGCCAAGAGTTCTTTTTTTAATTTTTATTAATTAGTTTATTCACTTTGTATCTCCCCCAGGCTTGTAGTTCCCTCCCTCCCAACCTCACCCTCCCTTTCCCCGTCTCCACCCATGCCCCTCCCCAAGTCCACTGATAGGGGAGGTCTTGCTCTCCTTCCTTCAGATCCTAGTCTATCAGGTCTCACCAGGAGTGACTGCATTGTCTTCCTCTGTGGCCAGGTAAGGCTGCTCCCTCCTGAGGGGATGGTGATCAAAGAGAAGGCCAATTAGTTCGTGTCAGAGACAGTCCCTGTTCCCATTACTATGGAACCCACTTGGACACTGAACTGCCATGGCTACTTAAGAGATGTGCCGGCCACCGTGGTCCTGCCCCTCCACTTGGGTATGAGTCAGGAAAACTTGGCCCTTAACAATTCTAGATACAGACCAGGTCACACTGACCTGGTCACCATCCCCGGCGGGTAGGATGCTTGGGCCCATCAAAGCTAGGCTGCCTAATAGTGAACAGATGTGCAGAGGAGACAACCCTGGACTTCTTTATGCCAGAAGACCTTAAAGCCAGCATTCTGTTTATTGCTACCCAAAAGCACCTGGCTGATATTGGCAGCTAGGAAGTGCTGCGGCTGGTTCGGTTAAGCTTCTCCAGTTGGTTTAAAAGGGAGAGCGGGGAGGGCCTGCACGTCAGAGTACCCGAGGCCTCAGGACGCAAAGAGAATCCCCGGACGCAAGGGAAATACCGGGGACGCTAAGACAGGCAACGCAGGGAGAAGCGCTCCTTCCTAGCTACCTGACCCTCGTCCACACCCTACCCTCACAGCCTCAGTCCGGTTTGATAGCACAGCCGACACTTAACACCGTTTCCGCGTCGCCTCGTGGAGAAAACTCATAAGCCCTTCCGCTGGGAGTATCCGGCTCCGAGCGGAGCCAATCCGTGGCCCGGTGTCCCTGCGCATTGGTCTCGTAATCCGCACTCTGACTACACTTCCCAGGGTGCACCGAGAGCATCTCCCTGTTTAAACCGGCCAATCGGCGTCCGGCGGAGGTCTCCGCCGCGTTTAAACCCGTGGCGGCGTCCCAGCTGGGTTTTCAGTCCTCCGGGTAAGAAGCAAGGGCTAAGGGGGTGACATGGGGCTGGCCCCAGAGAGTGGGGAACAGGGCCTGGCGCCGCAGAGGCGGAGGAGGACCGGCTACTGGGCTTGCTCTGCAGCTCAGAGCCCGGGAATCCGTTACACTGCCTCGGGGCGCACTGTCTCTGGGAGACCGGGGACAGGCTGGGGCTTGCCTCTTGACATGCCCTCACCCTCTCGTCCCCTTGCTTCCTGCAGCGAAATCTAGGGAAGGAAGAGAAGGCGGCGAAGTGCCTTTGGCCAGCCAGTCGGCAGAGGTGAAGATGAATACTGGTACTGAGAAGGGAGAAGGTAAGACCTTTCTGTTCGTGCGACTGCTCCCGGAGTGTATTTCTTTTTACCCCTAAAGAGAATAGAGAACGCAACAACAGACCCAAAAATAAATAAATAAATAAACAAACAAACAAATAAATAAATTAAAGTCTGGCCTGATAAGCTGGAGAATTTAACTGGAGTTACTTAAAAGGACATTAGCATCTCATAGCTACCCTGCCCACCTAGCAGTTTTAAACAATTTAACATAGTCTTAAGAGGGGCCTCCTCACACTTCCAGAAGTGCCTTAGTGGGTTCAATCTTGTGAGGGTCTCCTCTGGGTAATCACAGTTGCTGTGATATCTAAATGGCAACAGCTTCCTCACGCAGAGGACAACACTCCACCCTTTCCCCTGGCTTTTGCATTCTTTTTGCATTCCTTCCTCCTCCTCCACCTTCCTTCGTTTGCTTTTTTCTCTTTTGCTTGTCCTTGGAGACAGCATCTTCACTTTGTAACCCAGAACTCACTATGTAGATCTGGCTGGCTTTGGACTCACAGAGGATCCCCCTGCAGAAGCCCCATAGTACATGCTGGCGTATTCTTTCTTTGAAAAGAAATCCTCAATAGGAGGTGATACACTGCTTAGTACAGTGATGCCCACTATAAGAAGCTCTCAGACCAAGGCTGGAAGCACAGTAATTTATGTGCGCAAACATGAACCTTTAGAAGTCAACTTACCAGGCATGTCATCCATTTTGCAAAACAGCATCCCGGCTGGGTATGATCTCCCTCAGCCGCTATCCTGATTTACAGTACCAAACATGGGTTCCCTACAGTGAAGCAGATCTTACAGTTGGGAAGTTGCTGGTCTGTTAGAGGGAATTGAACAGATAAGTAGTTGGGCCATCCAAAAAATATGGATGGGGTGGAGGGCAAAGTGCAGGGGTTTCTTTTGTGTGTCCACATCCAGCATCCACGGAGCAGTGGTGGCCTTTGGACACTCATTTAGGCTCTATTGTGAGTTTGAATCACTGTTGAACTCATTGTTGGTGGACAGATAGGTATCTCGTAATTTAATTCCTGGAGAGCTGAAGTAGGTGGTTTTTAGACAATATCTTGTGCCTGAATGTGACCTAGCCCTCTCAGAAACCCTAGATTCTATCACAGAAGTAATGGTCTGTACTTTGGGGTTGGATCAGTGCACTCAGAATGGCTCCTAGAACTTGAGAGTGGAAATGGAAAATAAGATGGACTTAAGCTATCTATGAAAATCTTTTGCATTAAAACAATAATCTAGTACTTTTCTGAGAGTGAATTTTTATAGCAGTTGTGAAACCAGTGTTTTCCTATTTTATGCTAGCCCTAAAATAACAGTGAACTTTTTTCTCCCAGACATTCTTCTTTTGGAAGATGAAAAATTTGACTTCGATCTTTCCTTGTCTTCTTCAAGGTAAACAAATGAGTTTTCTTCCCTTTCCCTGGCACAGACACATTCATCAAAGCCCTTCATCTGGATGCCATTGTGACTAATCACTGATAATCTTTTTCCTTAAATGTAGTGCAAATGAAGATGATGAAGTCTTTTTCGGGCCTGTGGGACATAAAGAAAGATGCATTGCTGCCAGCTTGAACTTAAATGGCCAGGTTCCTCAGCAGCCTCTTGCAGCAGCCTCTGGCAGCTCTTGTGCCTGGAGCCCTCTCACTGGGGAGAAGTTTGTGGAGGTGTACAAAGAAGCCCACTTACTGGCCTTACAGATAGAAAGCCACAGTCGAAGAGAAGTAGCCCAGGCTGCCAAGCCCAAAAATCCTGTGAACCAGGGCGCGGAAAGATTTGTGCAGGACTCACAGTTAAAAATAAGCCTCTTTGAAAAAGAACAGAAGAGGGAGAAAAGCCCCGTATCAATTAAAAGAGAGACATTCTGCCTGCCATCCTCAGGGGTGCAACCCCCGTTTGGGGAGCCCCAGCTCCTGGCTTCTCCAGCCTTGCTCAGCTCCCCTGTCCCAGCTGGCCCTGTTGAGACCCAGAGCAACCAGGCTCTGCCCTGTTCCTCTCAGCCACTGCCAGGGGAGTCAAGTACCTCCCAACCTCCAAATCAGGCTGGGCCTCAGAAGAGGCTCACCAGCAAGCTACAGCCACCTCGAGCTTTGCCTGTGAGAGGAAGACCTCTTCAGCTGGCTACAGAGAAGGTAAACAAGTGCACAGGATAGTTGCTGTGGGACACAGCCTCCCTGCCTCTCCTCAGCCCATGCCCTGCCATGGAAGCTCATGGGAGGGGCAGTGCTCCCTGGAAAGCCCAGGGTTAGAGCCAGGATCTGAACAATGAAGGCAATAGTGAGGGGGAGCTGCCCAGGGTGGGCCCCTTTGATGAGCACTCTTCCCCCCAAGTTGGGCTGTAGTTCTTCTCTATGGCTGCAACGTTATGCTTCTTTTTGCCCCAGACATCACATCAATGAGCTGTCAGGTAAGTGGCAGTTGACCAGTTGTGGGAAACTCAGGGTCCTGGGGGCTTGGTTGGGGGGTAGACAGAAGGTAGATTTCAGAGACAGCTCGCTTCCAGGTTTGCCTGCTGTGTTGCTGAGGAGAGGGGGCTCCTGAGAGGAGACACGGGGTAAAGGTGTGCTAGGAAGGCACCTGTGTTGCTGTCCTGTACCAGCTTTATTGTACTGAGGGTTGGCAGTTAAAGGAATGGCTCTGTGAGGTTGTCAGAGGGTGAAGCCCTCGACATCCCTTTTAGACATCCCTTTTCCCCATCTGTAAGCCCTCTTCTGACCACATCTGTTCCCTCCTGAGACCAGGATGCTCTGGGTTAGATCTGCTAGCAGCATGTGTGGGCGTGGAGCAGTATTTGTATGTGACCCATGCATGGCTGTGGGGCAGGGCTGAGGTTATAACACATGCAGGATAGCAGATGAGATTCTATCATCAATCAGCTGGTACATGTCAGCTCGATAGTTTTTTCACAGCAGCATCATTCAAAATTGCCAAGGAATTGAGCCAACCCAGGTGCCTACTAACTGATGAGTAGATAAATAAAATGGGGACATATCCAAATAATGGGATAGTTTTTAGTAAAAGAATTACAGTATCATTGAATATATTATCTTCAAGACTGAGCTTTAACGTGAAGTGCAAAAAGGAAAGCATTACTGTTGGACTCTCACACTGAAGCAACTGCTTGTGCCTTCTTGACACCCATGGAGCTGCTCCCTGATGCCCTTGTCCCTGAATATGTCAGGGATTTGTTCCTCAGCTTGCCAGCCACAGAAAGTGGGCTTTGTTTTGTTTTTGTTTAATTGTTTATTATTTTTGGGGGGAAGGGGTTAAGTGTTTTGTTTGGGTTTTCAAAATGAATTTCTCTGTGTAGCCCTGGCTGTCCTGGAACTCTTCTCTGTAGACCAGGCTGGCCTTCAACTTCGAGATCCTTCTGTCTCTGCCTCCCAAGTGATGGGATTAAAGATGTACACCACCACCGCCCACCAGGAACTGTGGCTTTTAGCACTCAACCAGGAAGCCTCACTGTAGTTGAGTGGTGACTGCTGTAGAGGTGCCCAGGCAGTGAGCACACCTTCCCCACAGCATTCAGAACATGTCTGACCGAGCCAGCTTCCTCACTGAAGCTCTTATTTGTTGGTTGTTTTCGAGACAGGGTTTTACTGTGTAACTCTAGTTGCTGTGGAACTCACTATGTAGACCAGGCTGGTTTTATTGCCCTCACAGAAATCTGCCTTCCTCAGCCTTGGAGTGCTGGGACTAAAGGCATGTGTCACCATGCCCAGCTCCCTCGCTGACACTTTTAAGCCGGGATCTGACAGAGAAGACAGAGGAGATCTTCCTGCAAAGTGCCTGCCCCAGTCTAGCCCTGCTTTAGTGAGGAGTCCAGGTCTCATTTTGTACCTGCTTCTCACGTGTTAGCAGACGAGTTGAGAGTGCCAGGTTTGGGAGAAACGGTACCAACTCGGGGCCTTGTTTGACCATGTAGTCCTCACATTTCTTTTTTCTTTTTCTTTCTTTCTTTCTTTCTTTTTTTTGGTGGTCGGGGAGGTTTCAAAACAGGGCTTCTCTATGTAGGCCTGGCTGTCCTGGACTGACTTTGTGGATCAAGCTTGTCTTGAACTCATAGAGATGCACCGGCCTCTGCCTCCCTGGGTGCTAGGATTACAGGCGTACACCATTGTGCCTGGCTTTCCCCCCCCACCTCACCTTTCAAATTAACATTTTCAGCTCAAAAAAGAGGTGCCAGCTAGCCTTCAGAGGATGAAACTCCTGAATGAAAAGGGATCCCAGAGTAATGTGCTCCCAGACAAACCCAGCAGGGTTCCAGATGCTGCTAGTAGAGCAGGCCACCCAGGCAAGCGATCACTCCCCGTTCCTAGCAAGGTGAGTCGCCTGGGGTTACAGGGCTACAGGGTTGCCAGTTGTCTTCCATGGGAACACAGTACCAGTTTTGTATCTTTTGATTATAAAGTTAGGTTGTCGGGGAAATAGTTTATTTGATAAATGCTTGTGTGGACCTACGTTAGATCCCTAGGACTCATGTTTAAAAAGCCTTGTGTGATGGGGTGCACGTGTAACCCCAGCATTAGGGAGGCAGAAGACTGAAGAATCCCTGGACCTTCCTTGCTGGCCAGCCAGCTTTGTCTACTTGGTGACTGCCAGGCCAGCAAGTGACCCTGTCTTTAAAACCAAAAGGTGGTTGGGCATAGCAGTGAAGCAAGCTTTAATCCTAGCTCCTGGAGGCAGAGGCAGGTGGATCTCTGTAGCTGGTCTGCATAGTGGCTTCTAGGCCAACCAGGGCTACACAGTGAGACTCTGTATCCAAAATAAGAAGTGGAATGTCATCTGCAGTTGTCCTCTGGTCTGCATGCACACTCATACTCCAGTTAAGGAAAGTTGGAAACAGTCCGAAAGAGGCAGCTAGGTTGCAAAGAAGATAGGCCTGCAGTGAGCCCTGGACTGCCCTTGTCACCTGGGCTGTTGATAAAAACCTGGCATCCCTTGGTTCCCACCAGCCGGTTCTCGCTAATGCCTCACAGGCTCTGTGAGAGACAGGAAATACTGAGTTTACAGACATAGAGATTGTCACCTTTCTAGTATTCTGAGCCACCCATTAGAAGTTATTTATTAAAGCTGCCAAAAGCTGGGCCTACAGCAGCTGATTTGGGGTCTAGGTGGGAGCCCCACAGTCTTAATTGCTGCTAGCTCTCCTGTACATCCCTCCAGCAGAGGTTTGGACATTATATTGTAGATGCAGTAGGGCCCTCCAGGTCCATGGGCTCTGCATCTGTGGATTCACCCAGTCATTGAGCCTGCTTAAAAGAAAAGCTGCTTCCTTGCTGAACCTATATAACTTCCTTTTCCTTGTCAGTATGCCTGAGTGAGTGTGATGGCTTTCACCGTCTTAGATTAAAATTAGAATCATCTAGAGGCTATTTATTTTCCAGACAGGGTTTTTCTGTGTAGCCCTGCCTGTCTGTAGACCAGACTGGCCTTGAATGCAGAGATATGTGTGCCTCTGCCTCCCAAGTGCCAGGGCTAAAGACATGTGCCACCACCGCTGGGCATCTAACCATAATTTAGACAGTGCTTTTACCAACTGAGCTATCTCTCTAGTCTCACCAAAGATTATTTTTAAACCTTACTTTTGCAGAGTTCAGTGTGTGTATGTAAGTAATAAAATCCTTGCTAATTTTGGTTTTCAACTATACTCTTATCTTAGTTGGGGCTGAAGAAGACCCTATTGAAGCCACCTGGCCATACTGGCAGTCTCACAAAGAAGTCCTCTACCTCAGGGTCTGCTTCAAGCCTTGGGTCTAGTGTATGTGTGTCTCCAGCAGCAGGCAAAGGTGAGCAGACCCACTAGCCAGGGGAGCCCTGTGCAGCATGTGTTCTGGCGGCATAGGACGCTGTGGGGTAATAGCTCAGGGCAGGGGTCTGGGCAGGAAGAGACTCATTGTCCTTCTTCCCCCTAATACTTCCCTTCAGTAAGCAGAGGTGGTTTCAGTTGGAGGCCCCCAACTCATGAAGTGTTGAAAAAAGATGGATGTTCACACTAGCTGTGTATCCATCAGAATACAGGAGCTAAGATCAACTAGCCCCAGCCTGGGTCATTTTGGGCAAGTGCCCTTGCGTTCAACCTGCCTAAACAAGTCTCCCTCTAGTGGTGGAGTGTTGTAGGACCCCGAGATTACATCTGTCTCTGGGGTTTGCCTGTGGATTCTGGTCATGTCTGTCGCAGCACAGTGAGAGCTTTTCACAAGATGTGAGATGTCTGAGCTCTAGAATCAGATCCTGATCTGGAGTCCTGACTGCTACTCAGTGGGTAACAGATGTCTGTGTCTTGACCTTTTAAATCAAGTGATATTGTTGACCTTGGGGAAGGTTCCTATGAGTCTGGCAGTGTTCATGGGCCCTTCTGTGGCCCATGAGCATATGACCAGGAGAGTAGGTGCCTGCTCCTGCCCAGGTGCTGTGAGGTACATCTTGCCCCAGTGACTCAGGACACTGGCACCATGTGTTGTATATGGTAGAGTCATAGGGTCACATGAGATTGTAGGGTGGAACCTGGTAGGGCTAACACAAGGTGTAGACGTGGCTACAACATTATTCCCTAAAGTTTCCCTTTGAGTCTTCACTGTGTTAACTCAGTGGGTCCATTGCTGGTTAGGCAGATGTTGCCTTAGCTGTCTGCTGTTCTGTTTCCAAACCTCCTAAGTTTTCCCTCCTCGTGCTCCTGTCTACCATGGAGATAGGGCAGGATGTGTGACTAGAGTCCACTTTCTTCTGTTCATCAAGGAAGTGAAGAAAGGAGAGCTTAGCTCTGAATTCACACACACACACACACACACACACACACACACACACACACACACACCTGCTGAGAATCAGACAGCCCTCAGCTCAGGTCTGGGCATCTGCATGTCGTCTGTGTTCTGATGTTAGGAAGACAGCCTAGAGGTGTTACACCCTGTGTGTTGGTGTGTTAAAGTGTTTGGAAACAGTGTGACTTGAGAGGCCAGCCTTGATTATCTCCTTTTGCAGCAAAGTCCAGTGAACTTTCAAGTATTCCTGCTCGTAGCTCCCAGCCTCGGACAAGCACCAGCAAGTTGGGCAGAATAGGACCCTCCACAGCACAACAGGCTCTGCCAGCAGCTTCTTCCAGGGCATCTTGTAAACAAGCCAGAAAGGCTGATGCTGCCCAGATGATGGCAGAGCAGCCCAAGGCCTCCACCTTGACTCCTCTCACCCAACAACCCCAGACTCCAGAACAGAGAGGACCGAGGCTGGACCCTAACACCGTGGCATCCTCTCAGTTGAATAAAACCGGCAGTATAAAACGGCGGGACTCCTCCCTAAACTGCAAGGCAGAGGCCATGTCTCCCGCTACAGACCCATTTAAAGTCCCCCAGTTTTCTGTTGGTAAGTACCAGGCACATTTTGGTGGGGAGGTTACCAGTGTGGCTGGTGCTGTTTCACTTCTTTAGCTCTGACATTCTATCCAGGGTGTATTATGCCGCCCACTTGCTGTGTTCATTCGTCTGTGGATGAGCCATTGCCCCTGGACTTCTATTTCCTACTACTTCCTGTTGTCTTAAGTGTGGTCATTAGGTCTGGAGCTGTGGCCTTTATTTGTTGCACCTGGGTGGGTTAGGGCTTTGTTGTTCTGTTGGTATTAGTGGTTTAGCTTCTGTGTTTTTAACCATCTTACTATGTTTTCCTTAAGGGGCTGAACTTGGCCACCAGTGAGCATGTAGCCCAGGCTGTTCCACTCTGGCCTTCTTTGTAACCTCTCACAGGTGGTCTAGAATGGATGCTGTCTGGAGTGGTTTAGGCCTGTCACTGGTGTGGGGTTTTGCCCAGATTACTGCTAAGTGTCCTGTCAGTTTGTTCCATCTGCTCAGGCTAGGTGTGCTGTTTCCCAGCCCTGTTCCACTAGGTGCTTGTCTTGACCTTTAGGTGTCTCACCTTGTGCTATGTGCTGCCACTGCAGCTGCCTGTTCAGGAGAGTCCACAGAGTTTCCTAGAGTTTTTTCTGCTCTGTTGTGTGGCTTCTCTCCAGTTCTCTGTCTCTTAGATCCTCAGTCCCCCAGACAGAAGCTGTTGTCCCCTCCCAGCTAGTAAGATTGTCCTGCCCTGTTTTGTCAAGACCAGCTTGTTCCACATAATGTGTTCGGGACACCCAGGATCACACATTGAGACAATGTTAAAAAAACAAAGTAGTTTCTGTCTTGTTTTTCCCATTTAAAGCACATCTTAAAGCTTGGGCTGTAGCTCAGTGATAGAGTCCTTGCCTAATGTTTGAGGCCCTGGATTGAATCCCTGCTTCCACCCAAAAATAGAAACAGAAAACTCTTTATTGAAAAGAATTGTTAAAGAATTGTATTACTTTGCGTGTGTGTGTGTATGCACCATGACACACCTGGAGTCCAAAGGATACCTCTCAGGAGTTGGTTCTCTCTTTCCACAGTGTGGATAATTATAACACCTTTAACCCAGAACTCAGGAGCCAGAGGCAGGCATATCTAAGTTCAAAGCCAGCCTAGCCTACAAAGCAAAGATGAGCCATGACCATACACAGTAAGACCCTGTCTCTAAAAAACAAAAACAAAAACAAAACAAAACAAAACAAAAAAACAATATAAATAAAGTAGAAAGCAAGAACAAGCCACAGAAGAGGATTGTCTCTGATGGGGTGGGCAGAGGCAGGGAGCTTTCTCTGAATGCTTTAGAATTAATCCAGTTTGTTTTTTAGTCTCCAGAGAGCAAAGAAAGCCCTTGAGCACAGAGCACTGACCAGTGGTCAGTGCAGGACTCTTGTTGGCCACTGTCCTTTGCCTTTGTCTGACCTGCAGCAGGTTTCCTGGCTGCAGTCTCGTAGCTTTGCCTGTGGTGGTCAGGCAGTCGCTCCACCAGAACCTGTTATTGGAGATGATACTCTTGCACACTGTGGCTGCTGCTCTGCTGGCTCTCAGTTGACTGGTCTCTGCCCCCATTCACTGAATTTAATTTACTTTTGCTAATGGAAAGTTTTCAGGAATAGGGGAGGCAGAGGAAGGTGGATCTCTGAGTTCAAGGCCAGTCTGGTCTACATAGGGATTTCCAGGAGAACTAGAGCTGCACAGGGAGGCCCTCGTTCACAAAACAGCAAAACCGCAGAAGAGGAGGAAGGAGAAGAAGAAACAGGGAGGGGAAAGGTGAAACAAGTAAGAACATAGTTGCTTCTGGCTGTGATCCCAGTACAGGGAAGGCTGAGGCAGGAGATCACAACTTCTAGGCTAGCCTGGGCTACAGTGAGACCCTGTCTCCAAACAAAACAAAACCTAAGACTGGCTTTTCTAGGTATCTGTCTTGTGCTGGCATGTTTAGCGACAAAGAATCTTCTGGTGAGGTATCTCACAGTGTACATTTTATTTTAATGGACTTTAAAGTTTTACTTTTATGTATGTGATTGTTTTGCCTGAGTGTATATGTGTACACCTTGTGTATTCCATGCTCAGTATGAAGCCAGAAGAGGGTATTGAAGCCCCGGGAACTAGAATTATAGACAACTATGAGCTGCCATATGGGTATGGGAATCAAATCTGGGTCTTCTGGAAGAGCAGCTAGTGCTTTCAACCGCTGAGCCATCTCTCCAGCCCAAGTTTACACTTAGTAGAAGACTTGGCTTCCATCAAGGAAGTGTCCTTTTGGATCTTCTGTGCAGTGAAAGCTTGGTGCCAGGGGATCTGGCTCATTGGTGTGATGGTTTGAATGAGAATGGCCACCATAGATGCATGTATTTGAATACTTTGTTTCTAGTTGGTATAGCTTTTTGAAAAGAATTAGGAGTTCTAATTCTTTTCAACAGAAGAACAACAGTGACAGTTGGGGAAGAGGTTAGGTAGTATTCTAGTTTGCTTTCTGTCAAACACCAACACCAGGACCAAGGTGTGGAAGGAATCTCTTGTGTCTGTATAGAAGTATCAATAAAAATCTGATGACCATAGCTTAGGCAGGAAATACAAGGTAGGGCATCAAGCAGACAGAAAGGATTCTGGAATAGTGCCATGTGCTAGTAAAATGGGTTATTTTAAGATATAAGCTAGTCAGAGAAGAGCCTAGGTATATGTCCTAGGTATTCGTAAATAATATTTTGAGTCTCATGAGTTATTATTCTGGGAGCAAGGAAATGGGAGGAAAAACCTCCCCGCAACATCAAGTCACCTTGGTTAGTTTATTTGGCTTACACTTTGCATCATCATCCATCATTGACAGAAGTCAGGGGAAGAACTCAAGCAAAGACCGCTGAGGAATGCTGCTTACTGGCTTTCTTCAAGGCCTACCTGTTCAAGGATGGTATCACTTACAGTGGGCTGGGCCCTTTCCTACATCAATTAGCAATGGAGAAAATGTCAGTCTAGTGAAGGCTATTCTTCAATTGAGGTTCCCTCTCCCACATGTGTCCAGTTGACAACCAAGATTAGCAATCACAGATGGAGTGGTCATTTTGGCCAGAGTAGGCAGCCCAGGCAACAATGCTGAGATGAGAACAGAAGCCCAGTGAGGAGGCAGCCACTAGATAACCCAAAGAGAACATTCCACGCAGAGGAAACAGTGCTGTAAAGTCCTGTGTTGGAAAGGCGCTTGAGTTCCTAGAGAAGGCGGAAGACGGTGGTGAGAATGCAGTTGGAATAGGTCCTCCTGCAAGCCTCAAACAACATTTGTGTGTGTGTGTGTGTGTGTGTTGATTTCCTTCCCATATCAAAGTCTAAATAGAGGACATGGGGACACGGTGGCCTCACTGTGAACATCTGCTTAGGCCAGCAGGATTGCATAGGTTGGAGCCTGTCTTAGTTAGGGTTACTATTTGCTGAGATGAAGCACCGTGATTGAAAGCAAGTTGGAAAGGATTTATTTCACTCACAGTTCCCTATAATAGTTCATCAAAGGCAGTGAGGGCTGGAACTCAAGCAGGAGCCTGGAGGCAGGAGCTGATGCAGAGGTTGTAGAGGAGTGTTGCTTCCTCTGCTCCTCATGCCTTACCTAGACTGCTTTCTTATTGAAGCCAGGGCCACCAACCAGCCCAGGGTGGCACTACCCACGATAGGCTGGGCCCTCCCCCATCAATCACTAATTAAGAATATGTCTTACAGGTTTGCCTCCAACCTGATCTTATGGAGGCATTTTCTTAATTGAGGTTCCCTCCTCTCAGATGACTCTACCTTGAGTCAAGTTGACATAAAACTAGCTGTCACAGAGCCACAGAACTTCCTGTGACATCAGAAGTTTTTGAAAATGAGTGACATCAGAAGTGTGTGACATAGGAGGCTGAAAGCTAAGGCTTCCAGGACCAACTGGGATCAAGGGGGCAGGAGACTGCTGCATTCTCCCTAAGGTTGCACCCTACATTGGTAAAACTTTTTGAAGCACCTTGACAGGAGCAGTTTTAAACACAGGTGAGACGTGGGGCACACACAGGCAGCTCTTCCATGTGGATTTAAAGAATGGGCCCCTGGGATGGGACTGCAGGAGGAAGAGGAGTGAGGCAAGAGGTTCATGACAGAAGGGCACTCTGTACCAGAGCTGCTGGTACAGAGGAGGACAGGAGCATGGTCAGTGGTAGTGGTTTGAAGCCTCATCTGGTCTTACATGGCCTGCTAAGATGGGTCTCTTTCATGGCTGGAGCCAAGGGCTCTGGTGGTGGCCATTTTGCCCCTGGCTTCTAAGACAGCAAGTTACTACATGGAGGTCCTGGCTCCTGAGGCTTTGGGCCCCCAGGTTGACTCCAAGGATCATGATTTCACCTGGAGTCATGAGGTGGAGGGACAGTGATGTAATAAGCCATCTGGGCTATTCTGGGCTTTGCTTAGTGGCTGGTAAGCACCCACTGAATTCTGACTGTGCTTGGTTCCAGCCACATGATTTCCATGACATGAGAATGTAGGAAGCATCCTGGCAGGCAGAGGAGACTTGGAATGAGCCTGCCATGAAACTCAGGCCTAGGCCAGTTGCAGAAAGGAGTTGGCTTAATGGAACAGAGGGTTCTCAGTATCAGACCCGGCCCTTGCCTCAGGTGGGGGTCTCAAGAGGGTTTCGTTATGTGTGTCATCTGACTTCCTGTCTTTACATGGACAGTTGGGAAGGTGGGGGCATTTAGAGGAGAGTGCTATGGCACATGCCAGGCTTTCCATGTTGATTGTTCTCTTCTGATTGGTTCTCTCTCTTCTTAGGTGAATCACCTGTAGGTGTGACCTCAAAGTTCTCACGGACACATCAGCTGCAGTCCAGGACACCAGCTAGCAGGTAGCCGACAGGAGTTTGTCTCCTCTCCTTTCTTACCCTCTGAGAATCACAGATGTGTCTGTAGTCTCTGGAGTGCCCCCTGGGCTGCATGTCAGGCTGCTGAGGTGGAGGCTTTCTGTCACAATCACTGTGTGCATGATGCTCCGACTCCCAGGTAGGCCCAGGCCCAGTCACAGACACCCCGTCAGCACTGCTGTAGGCGCTGAGCCCAGCCTCCACCCCCTACCAAAAGCTTCTGACTTGGTGGGGTGGGGTTAGGGACAAGGGGCACTGCCCAGTGTCCACATATTTCAGAAGTTCCCCAGGCCACTGGTTTGTACACAGTTAGGGACTTGGGTTTCAGTCCTGCTCTTTGACCCAGTATGCATCTAAATGCCCTGAATGTGTTTCCTCATCTGTCCCTTGGATGCTCTCTGGTCCAACATGGTAGTTACAACAGTGAGAACAAGTCCATACATGTGCAGATGCTGGGGATGTGCATGGACTTCTGAAATGGCAGCCTTGGCCCCGACTGCCCTTTTTGTTACATTCTGTATACCACTGGTTCTGACACAGTGCAGCTGAGGCCACCAGCCAGTCTTGGGCAGCTTTAAGCTTTCACATCCTCAGGGTGACCATGGAAGCAGCTGGGGGTTGCCATACCAGATGGTTTCCCTTAAAGCTATAGCCATGCTGAGGTGCCTTCCTGGTGCAAGGTAGCCACTCTCTTGCCTTTCTGTGTCTCAGCTACTTGGAAAATGAGACAATAGCTCCTGTCTTCTGGGTCCCATCCAGGGTCACATTTGTGGGTATTTTTTGTCTTCATTGGAGCTTGTGGCAGATCCAGCAGTGTCCACAATGGCAAGGTGGGTAGGGCAATGGGCCTGGCCCTGGGCAGCAGGCAGGAGCTTGAACTAAGATTAACCTTTGTGCCTGGATGTGGTCTGTGTAGGGAGCTTGTTTTTCAGCTCATGCTATTTAGAGTTTGTTTCCAGACTCTTTGATCAACACAGAAGTTGTCTTTGTTGCATGGTGAAGTTGGTAGGTGATTCCCTAGGCCTGCCAGAGCACTGTGTTAGCAGTATGTCCTAGAGTTGTTTTACTACAGTGTCTTAGTACTCTGGGGTTACTATAACAACACCTGGTTTAGGCTTTGTTTTGAGTTGGGAGTCTTTCTGTGTAGGCAGGGCTAACCTCAAACTCCGTCTTCCTGCCTCTTCCTTGCTGTTATTATTGGCTTGTGCCACCATGCTGGGCATCTGGGGTTTTAAACAGGGGTGTGTGGCAGTTCTGGAGGCTGGACATCCAGGATCAGGGCATCTATAGATGGTAATGTCTGCTGCAGGTTCATTGCTTGGCTCATCATGTCTTCACATGGAAGGACAAACGTGGTATCTGGGGCCTTCTTTATAATGGCACTAGTCTATTGATTGGGGCTCTGACTTCTGACCTAATCACCTCCCAGAGGCTCCATTTCCTATGCCATTATATTGGGGATTAGGCTTTTAACATATGAATTTGGGGGATGCAAATTAGTCCATAGCTGTTAACAATTAACCTGACTTAGCCTCTGGCTTAAGAACAACAGCAAAATAACATTTAGGAGAGATGGTGGTTAGGGCACAGGAACTGCCAAGGAGCACCCATTTCCCAGACTCGGTTCTCACCTTTGATTTGGGGATCTTAAGCTTGGGCATGAGTGGGCAAGTGGTGAAAAACCACCATCAGTTCATCTCTTTGCCAGAGTCTGATGGGAGCCTAGACGTCTTTGTAGAGAAATCTGCCATCATGAGTATCTATTTAAGTCCCTCTGACCCTTCCATGGTTGGTACCATGAACATAGCCATGTTCAAGGATAGATGTTTCATTTACCTGTGGGATAGGATGGAGACATCACTTGCTGAGGAACTTGAAACTGATCCAGGGCACAGGCAGTCACTGCCTTGAGTCCTGCCCATGTTAGATCCCCTTCTCAAGAACAGAGCCTACCCAGGCTTCCTGGCTGCCCTTTCAGCTTCAGTTGTCTTTGTTCAAGATTTCCATTCTTCACCAGGGTTGTCAGCAGCACTCCTGTGAGACGCTCATCAGGGCCCACTTCACAAGGCCTGCCCAGCAGTATGAGGACTCCTATGAGCACAAGACGGATGTCAGCGTTGCCTACACCTGCTAGTCGGCGCCTCTCTGGCCTTCCATTAATGACGCCTCAGTCCATGCCCCGGCCTCTGGTGTCCCCACTATGTGTGCCTGTCCGCCGACTTTCTTCTGAGCCCAGAAGAAGATCTACAGTCAGGTAAAGAAGAGTTGAATGAGCTTGTCTCTAGTTTCCCAGACCTCAGGACTCCCCCTGTGCTGAGAGGGTATAGGCAGCAGTTAGGAGAAATAGGAAAAGAAGCTCTGTGAAGTTCAAGCTTGTCATGCAAATAGTCAGAAGTATGTGTATGTGTTGGAGGGGGGCTTTGTGTGTGTGTGTGTGTGTGTGTGTGTCTGTCTGTCTGTCTGTCTCATATATGTTGTACCATGAATGTACGTATATATGTGTTGTAAGTATAATACAGAAGGAACTAAGGTTGTTATGAAACCCATAAACTATGAAAAAGAGGACATTCTGTTCTTATTTGTGGATATTGTTGCTGCTCACAGTTTCCATAGTTCATTCAGCTTTGAGTCATCAGGTGTTCTGGGGACATGCTAGGTGCTGAGAGGTCACTGCTAGAGGGAAGCATGACATAATTAGGTGTGCCCGTTAGTGCGAGGCATGCTGTAGTATGGGAGGCCATGCATGACTAGGGTTCCAGTCTGGCCAGTGTGTAGAACCAGGCCTCCTGAGGGAGCAGTGAGGCGGGGCAGGCAGGCAGGCAGGCAGGCAGTTGGCTTACCTAGGCCTGGAGGGGCCTAGCGACAGCATGTGGGCAGAGGTAGAGCCGATCCTGTGTATTTTAGTAGCTGTAAAAGAAAGGGTTGATGGGAACACACAGTAAAGCTAGACTGGTAGAACTGGAGAGGTGAAAGAACTGGAAAGGAGCCTTGAAAATCTTCATTCCTCTTGCACAGAGACCAGGGTCTGTCAGATGAGGTTGTCCTCATAGCTGTGGACATGTGTAGGAAGTTGTCCCAGGGCCCAGGCTGCTTTCACACCAAAGCTAATGACCAGTGTAGGGAGACCTTACAAGTGTTTCCTTCTCTTTTCCCCCCAGAGTGGAGCTGGCACAGGAGAACGGCAGCAATGTCAGTAGTGGGCAGGGCCAGGGCCTGTCCTCAGATGACAGCTCTTCCCCTCCATCCTCTGTACCTCAAGCACTTAACTTTTCTCCAGAGAAGAGTGACTTTCCTCTTTCCGGAGGCTCCTCCACAGGAGCAGTGCAGGGTGAAGCAGAGCCTCATGAAGACACGCACCCCAGTGAGGTACGTGGAGGTGGTTGCAGTTACGTGCCAGCTCTGGTACATGGAAAGTCATGGACAGGGACTCACAGTTCCCTTCCTGCTTCATCTTGTGCTGGGGGCCTTTGGTTTCAGCAGACTTGGAGAGGGGCTCAGAACCATGGACTAAGGAAATGTTTGGCAAAGGAGTTGGTCAGGGGTCAGCAGGCAGGAATGGAAGCAGGCTGAAGCTCTGTCCTAGCTGTGGGTAGGGGTGCACTACCCAGAGGGGAACTTACTCCCATTGAGGGCCGACTCCAGCCTTTTCCCCTTGGCCTCCAGGCTGTGAGCCTCACGTCACGGGGCCTGCCTTCCCAGGGTGCTTGCTGGGCACTGACGTGGTGCTGGACCTTCTCTTTCTCTGTGCCTGCCTAGGGTCTTCTCCTAGACATCAAGCTGGACCAGCTCACCATCACCCCTGAAGCAGGAGACAGAGACCTGGCTGACCGCCCTCTCATCGACTTCAGCAACACCCCTGAGTCAAACATGTTTTTGGGACCCAGCAGCTGGCCCCTCATCGACCTTGTAGTGAACACTCCAGGGGTGGATAGAAATGGTGTGGGGAAACCTCCAAAGGCTGAGCTTGGGCAGGTGAGAAGCGGCAGGGATTCATGCTCAGTTCAGCCCCGGGTGCTGTCTGGGCCCTGCATGGTGTCCTTGGGGTGCACAGGGTTTGTGTGTCATACTCATGCTTGGCTTCTCTATGGCTACCTATTGCTATCAGGCATTTTGCTGGGCCTGAAGGAGTTCTCAGGGCAGCAGTCATGTCTCCAACACTACTACTGCCTGCCTGCCTGCCATGTCAGGAAGTCACAGTGTTTATGGGTTTGAGATTTCTCTTCTAAGAGTCTTAGACATGATTGAGTCTTCTTGTGCTGTGCTGAATTGTTTTCTGCCCCTGGGCCCTGGGTGGGATTGGCTCAGCCCCTGCAGCTTCTTGTGTGCTGTGTATGCCATGCTGGGCACAGACAGCCGTGTTCACTTTGATGTCTCTGTTCTCTTCCAGCTGATCGACCTGAGCTCCCCCCTGATCCAACTGAGCCCTGAGGCTGACAAAGAAAATGTGGACTCGCCACTTCTCAAGTTCTGAGCCGAGTACAAGCCTCCGCCCTTTAGTCTGTTTCCTTCTGTTGTGGCGTTAGACCTGTAGAAGCAAATTTTAGAAGGAATTGTATTTGATGAGGTTGGGAGAAGCCTGTTATCCCGCTTGTGTCTGGAGTGGTGCCTAGGTGGGGTCCCCACTGCGGACCTCTGGCTGCCCTGCTCCCTGCCTTTCCCTTGGCAGGAACACAGCTCTCTAAAATATATATATATATTATTATTTTTGTTTGTAAAATAGCAAATGACTGTTCGTAAACTTTAATTTGTTTGAAAATTAAATAGTCTAGATTTAAGTTAAATTATAAAGTGTATTAAAGCACGCTTGATTGTCACACTTGATGTTTGAATGTGTAGAGCTGTTTTTATCCCTCCAGACACTATGGGAGACTTTCATTATCTAACCTTAATCTTATAAAATGTTGGGGAATAAAATTGGTATAAATATTAGTCTCAGGCCCACCCCAGGTACCCCAGCCTGTTTTCTGGGCCGGCATAACCTGCATTGTTAATACCAGTGGCTAATTCTGATGCAGTGGTCTAAGAATCACACCCTTTACACTTGCTCTAGGCGGCTAGAGTGCAGAAAGTAAAGGGGATTGGACTGTGAGGGAGGGTCTGCTTCAGTGTTTGTCCGAGGCTGAATGAGCCTGCAGCTCTCTTCCCTAGGGCACTCAGTCCCAGCTTCAGTCTGGGGCTACCCTTTGTCACAGTTGAGAGAAAGAGAAGTCTGATGGGTTCCTCATTCTCTGGTTATGTGCTGAATGCAAAGCTGCCAGCTGGAGTGTGGTTGGGCATCAGCAGTGGCAAAGTGAGGGAGTATCACAGAGACCTTAAAACAAGGTCTGGTGAGCTGCTGCAGACCCCGGAGGGATGGGGCAGCAGATCCTAACCTAGTGGGCAGGAAATTCTGGAATCCTGAGTATTATCACCGTAAACTGCCTTTACCTTCCCTAATCCACTGACTCCTTCCACAGGGGAAGAAGTAAATGTGGAATTGAGCTCATTAAGTATTGGGCTTGCAGTAGGGGCTGGGCTGCATTTCCCTTAGGGTACAGTGGAGTGTTGTGTCCCTCCCTTTTGGCCTGTTTGGTGGGGAAAGATACTAACCCATGATAACCAGACTACCTTGGTGGGGTCCATCAATGTCTGTACTTAGCCCTTAGCTCTGGCTTAGCCTGTATGCCTGGCTCTGCTCTGTCTACCAGGACAGCTGATGTTTGACAGCGTGTACTGAATCCTTCTGGTTTCTCTGCATGTATTCAAAGGCAGCTTTCCCCTAAGCCCTTCATCACAGGTCCTGGCTGCTCAGAAGAGTCAGTTTTGTGACACTCATTGGAGACTTGGGCTGAGAAGCTGGAATGAAGTACACAGGCTGATAACTAAACCTTCACACCTGAGACGGCAGAGGCCTCCCTGTGCCATTTACCATTTTGTGGGTGCCACAGACCGGCCCAGTCGGGCTCCCGGTGTCCGCGGGAGAACAAGGCTTTGGACAGGGAGACACGGTTTCGGCGATGAATTGACAGACAGAGACACCTTGATGGTTTTGACTCTGCTGCAACTTTACTGAAATCAAGCTAGTATTTTTATAATGATTTCACAAAAGGCACCTTAAAATTGGCATACTTCCCAGAACATTCAGACTTTTACCAAGAATACAAAGTTTACATTTTAACTCAAAATGCAGTCAAACATAAAGCAGTGTCCACAAGAAATCTTGGCCTAAAAACTTTTTGATCAGAGCAAACAAAGAAAAAGAAACCTCAAATGTAGTTTCATTATTGCTAACCAGTGAAGAGGAAAGTCAGGAGCTAAGTCAGATGCCTGCCAAAATCTTTCTCTATATCAAAATCTAACTACACCTTTGTTAACCATCCTCCCATATGTCCTGCTAAAGATTTATAATCTTCCCTAGGAACAAGGCACTGAGGGGAGGGGAAACTCCCGCCAGCTGTACTTCTCATGCTACTTTTTTTTAAGAAGGAGCCTATTATTTTTTTACTATTCTTAATGCCTATTAATACTAAATCCAATTTATTACTTTTCTTAAACTTATTCCTTTTACATTTTATTTTTATTAAAGCTTTTAATAATCTACTAATAATAAATTTCTTTATAAAATTAGTTGTGCTGTTTTAGGAGTCACAGAGAAAGATCAAAGAACTCATTAATCCAGCCCCAGAGCCACAACTGAAAAAGCGTAGAAATCTCAGAACGTGTCTCTTTTCCAAGTGGGATGAGTCTGCCAGGGACCTTCCAGGGGGCGAATTTCCGAAGAAAGCGTGTCTCCCGCCCTGTAGCACATGCTACTATGGCGACACTGGCGTGGGTGTTGGCAGTGGGGCAGTTTCTGAGATCCACATGCCTTTTGTGCTTTCACCACACAACACTTTTCCACGTTGCCTTTGCTACAGCTGTCCATGGTGTATCACACAGCAGCATTTTGGAGTTAAAGGATAGCTAAATAACTTCTGTTTAAACAAAAGGGGATGTCCTAGTTTGTTCTCTATTGTAATAAAACACTGACCAAAAGCAGTGTGGGGAGGAAAGGTTTTATTTGGTTTGCACATCCTGCTCACAGACCACCCTGAAGAGAAGTTCGAGGAGGAACTGAAGCAGGCCATGGAAGAATGCTGCTTACCGGCTTACTTCGTTTGCCTTCTTTTATCACCCAAGATCACCTGTACTGGTGTGGTCTCACTCACAGTGGTCTAGGCCTCCCACATCAGTCATTAATCAACAAAATAACACAGACTTGCCTAAGGGCCAATCTAATGGAGCACTTTCTCAATTTATGTTCTCTCTTCCAAGATGACCTCAGCTTGTGTCAAATTGACAAATTCTAACTAGGAAAATATAGGTTGTAAGTTTGTCAGATTACTGGTACTTTGTGGTTGGCCCTATCACAGGTTCTGGCAGGGAAAGCGAGACTTGCTTTAGTAAATGCAGTCCTATAGGCAGCCCTGAATGTGTTATCCTTTCTGGGACACTCCACAGACATGACCCCTTGCCCTCTTGCTTTCAAACCTGCCCAGGTCTCCTACCTGTTTTTTGTTTTTGTTTTTCTCACACCCCCCCCTTCCTCTTCCTCGGTCTTTAGGCCCGGTACAAGTATCTATCTTCTTCCAGCAGCCACCTACCAGCTGTCAGGCTCCCCACAAAGAATTCAGGAAGAGCCACACCCCCAGCCGGAGGCCCCAAAGCATCCACTCATTACAGCTGACCCCGTAGAGTGCGGTTTTCCTCCAAGAAAGGCCCACGAGACAAATCCTTAATTTGTGGTATCTCCATGATCACAGCATCAGAATGAACTACAGGTTCAACTCCAAATGCTTCCTATCCTCTGTGGCCCATCCTTTTCCAGCTCACTGTCTGGGCCTCGTTACTATGTTCCCATTGCTTATTCTAACACTGCTGACCGAGCCCCTAGGAAAGCCTTAGTGAGTAACAATCCACTCTGCTCTGTCCTCCACTGGGCTCTGCATCCGCCGGGTCTGCAGCAGCAGCAGACCCAAGAGGACCCGCGGCTCCCTGCCTCAGGACATCTAATCTTCATAGAATTCGGTGGGAAAGGGTTTGACGGGTTCCTCTAGCCGGTAACCGTGAGGAGCCAGCTGCAGACACAACACGGTGTCCTCGCCCTGTGCACCTAGGAGGCCTTTGGAACCTCAAACCTGAGTGGAGGCTGTTCCTGGTGCAGCTGACCTAGGAGCACAGCTTGGCACAGAAGACGCAAGAACAGCGGATGGGAAACCCAACCCGCCCAATTTTGCTTTGACCTCTCTCAGAGGCACCCTGGCCCAGCCCATCACAGCCAATCCGCAGCGCGGAACCAAAAAGCCTGCAGAACAGTGGATGTGCGGAGCACGTTTCCGGCCGGGTGAAGAATGAGGACGCCCCCGAAGGCCAGGACTTCCGGTGTCGAGTGAACGCGGCTAGAAAGCTGTTAGAGGAGTTGGGGAGTACGCAGATGTCGGCGCTTCGGCACGTCGTGTGCGCCCTGTCTGGCGGTGTGGACAGCGCGGTAGCCGCACTGCTGTTGCGGCGGAGAGGTGAGGCCAGGGTTCCTCCCTGGGGACAGGAGCTAGGCTTCTCCAGGCCTGAGGCCTGGCTCTGGAAACTCTGCGGGCTTCCACTCCAGGACGGCCAACTGCTGCTGACTAAATCACTCCTGTATTCCCCCTTCGTTGGATGACAAACTGTAAAACAGCTACCAATTCTTCCTGACTTCTAAACATAGCCCCACGGGACCTTAGAGTCCGGATCTGATACCAACTACCCACCTAAATTCCTCCCGCTCGGTGGTCCCAACTTACTTCAGCTTCATTCCGCGTTCACGTGACAAGTGTTTATGGAGTCTCAGCCCTGGCTCACCTTCCCCGAGAAACACGAGGCGTGCAGTGATGCGGGCAAGGAGCCTGGACTTGGGCAAGTTAATTAAGCACCCCTCTGTAAAATGGAATGGGAAAGATTAAATGAAAACGCCTGTATTGAGAGGGTTAACCATGCGATGTAAGAGTTCGGAAAGCAGGAGCGACTTTTATATTATAATCACAGCTGCTATGAGAGGTATAGTAAGAAGTGCCAAAGAGGATGGGGACAGCACACACACGTGTTCTCAGAAAGGGAGAAGGAAGGTATACCTAGAGGCAGAGGCGGTGAAGCCGAAGCTCAGTAGGATTTTTCTTCAAAGGTCTGGCTGCTGAGCCAGAATCAGTAACACACGCAGGAGTCAGAGGAGAGAGTGCTGACTAGGTCTGGCCAAACAGGATGTAGAGGGGTTAATCCCCAGTTATTGAAGCTGACCTGGTATTAGGGGCTTTGGGGTTATGTTGAGTAGGCAGTTGGGAGTCTTTGAAGGTTTGACTAGATGCTTTGGGAAGTGCAATGAATTGACCATGTTCTTCCAGACTTATTTTATCATTTTACTACTTACAGAAGACACGCCTTGCTGGCTAGTTTTTATGTCAGCTTGACACATGCTACGGTCCTCTTGGGAGAGGGAGCCTCCGCTGAGAAAATACCTCCATTGCATTGGCTAATCTGTGGGGCATTTTCTTGGTTGATGAGTGATTTAGGAGGGTTCACCCCGTTATGAATAATGCACCCCTGGGTAGGTGGTCCTGGGCTGTATAAGAAAGCAGGTTGAGCGAGCCATGGGGACAAGCCGATGAGCAAGTGTTTTTTCATGATCTGTGATTCAGTTCCTGCCTCCAGGTTCCTGACCTGAGTTTCTGCCTTGGCTTCCTCTGGTGATAGACTGCGACCCTTAGGTCCAAATGAACCTGTTACTCTCCAATTTGCTTTTGATCATGCTATATATAACAACAATAGAAACCTAGTTCAAATATAGGCCCTCTGCCTCTGGGCTGCAGCATCTTATTTCTGACTCTCCTTAAATTTCTTTTATGGAAGAAACTGGTGGACATATCAGGACAAAAACATCCTGTCATTTTGGCATTGTGGGCTCTTGGAGGCAATGTCCTGCCCTGTACTTCCTTGGAAATTTGACCCATCCTTGAGTGCCTGTCCCCCCATGTGGGTCTTGTCTGTTTGTGAGGCGGCCGATCAGGCAGATGTGGCACAGGAATAGTGGGGTTCTAAAGCTCTGTGTAGTTTGTTTATGCTACAGTAAGGGTCTTAGCTCCTAATGCCCTGGGCATTGTACTAGCTCTTGGGATACAGGATTGCATTGTGCTAGCTCTGCCCTTGAAGAGCCCCCTGCTTTAGTAAGTAAAGTGCAAAACTAGCTCAGGAGCTGAGCCCAGCATAGTTAATCTATGCAATAAAGCAGAGTCAGGTGCCTCATCCCATAACTGAATGTGTGTCAGCAAAATCCCTGGGATTTTGGGGGTAGGGTGGTGATAATCAAATACTAGAAGCTTTTAATACAATTGCTCTGGCTTTCCTTATATTCAGCTTATTCAAGAGAAATGGGGTTTTGATGCAGGGTGAGCACTTGTGAGTTTTCTGAGACTCTGGAGGGCCAGTGTTGGCCAATGTGATATTTGGTTGGGTATTTGTCACTGTAAAAAAGGAGAAGAGGAAACAAAATATTTGAATATTATTGAATAATATTGAATAATATTGGCTATTATGGAATAGCCAACACTTAATTTTAATGTTTGGTGTTGAAGATTGAACCCAGGGCTTCACCCATGCTAAGTGTGAGCTATCCTTCCTGAGCTACACCCTCAGCCTGATATAAATATCTAATAATTTAATTGTCTTTATAGTTGATGACTTGTAATATAAAGGTTTTAGATAGCAACTGGATAGCTTTTCAGATGATTTACCTTAAAAAGAACTGAACTGTGATTATCTTAAAACTTCTTAATTTTAATGCATGGATGTTTTGCCCACACGGATGTGTCTGTGCCCATGTGTTTGCCTGGTGTTAAGGTTGACCAGAAGAAGGCATCAGATCCCGTGGAACTGGAGTTACAGGTGTTTGTGATCTGCCATGTGGGTGCTGGGAATCGAACGGGTCCCCTGGAGAATCAGCAATTGCTCTTAACCCCAGAGCCATCTCTCTGGCCCTGATTTTTTTTTTTTTTTTTTTTTAACAGAATCTTGATATCTATCTTGGGGCTAGCCTCAAACTCAATATCTTCCTGTCCTAGTCTCCCAAATAACAAAATCATAGGTGTGTGTTCCCATGTCAGGCTGAATGGAGCTACCATTTGGCTTAGAATCTGAGTTTCTGCTCAACATTAAGTCATTCTGCACAAATCTGATACACCTCAGCTGTTTGTTGATGCAAAGGTGGAGATACAACATGGAAGAAAGTTCATTTTATTCCCTTTGTCCTACAATTTGTTGCACAATGTCCTACAATATGGAGGCCTTGAGTGCAATGAATGCTAAAGGGAAGAAGTGCCTTCAGGTATTATACTAAAATGTAAGCCAGGCCCTAGGCCACTTGGACATGCTTGGACTGCCATTCAGAATGTACAGAGGCATTGGGTGTGTGCTGTATCAGAACTTCTCCAGGCATGGGAATCCCTGCTTTTTACCCTAACTTCTCTCCCCAGGTTACCAGGTGACAGGGGTGTTTATGAAGAACTGGGACTCCCTGGATGAACAAGGTGTTTGTGCTGCTGACAGGGACTGTGAAGATGCTTATAAAGTTTGTCAGATCTTAGACATCCCTTTCCATCAAGTGTCCTATGTGAAGGAGTACTGGAATGACGTGTTCAGGTGAGCACAGGCCAGTGCACAGCAGGGTTTAGTGTTCTGTTCATCTTCTCCAAGGGAGGAGAGGAACAGTCATTGTTTCTCCACAGAGGTGGCCAAGACTGTGCTGAAGTTGGGGCACCAGAGACCTTGTCTGTAGCACCCTCACGCTCTTTCTTGGGGATATTTCCCACCTGCCAGAGGTTTCCTTAATGCTTTTCTGAATTATGGCATGAGGAGTGGAGGCTGAGGTCTCCCCAGAAGGTGCTGGGAGATGAATGTCGATACCCAAACACTGTGTGTAAGTGATTATGGGCGTCTTGGTTATTTGTTATTTGTTTTTGTTTTTATTTTGTTTTTTAATCAATTTGACAAAGCCAGGGTAATGTGAGAAGGGGGAACATCAATTGAGAAAATACAGCTAAATCTGTGGGGTATTTTCTTGATTAATGATAGATAATTAATGGGAGGATATAGCCCACTAAAGGGCAGATGGTCCTGAGCTAAGAAAGCGGGCTGAGCAAGCCATGGTGTACAAGGCAATAAGCAGCACCCTCCATGGCCTCTATATCAGTTTCTGCCTCCGGGTTCCTGCCCTGCTTGAGTTCCTTTTCTGACTTTTCTTAAAGAAGACTATGATCAGGGCATATACGCCAAATAAGCCCTTTCCTTCCCAAGCTGCTTTTGGCCATGGTCTTTCTCACAGCAGTAGAAAGCAAGGTAAGACAAGAGGTTGGGGGCAGGGGGTTGTGGGGTACTGCCCTTGCCTTTTGAAAACAAGAAACAGCAAGCAAAACTTTGATCAAGTCAAACACTGTAATTATTATTGCTGACTATATGCTAAGCACTGTGCTACATCTGAGATTACAAAGTATAAACGGGATACCTAGGTGGGTGATAGGCTCTCTACCAGAGGTGCTGTGGTGATGAGCAGCCTGTAGGAAATTCCCTGGGTTGGGAGGAGGGAGAGTGGTGCGGCATAGAGTGTGGTCTGGCACCTCATGGAAGAAGAGGAGCCTGAGCACCTTCAAGGAAGGTTGGAGTAGAAGCTTTTATGTGGGGTCTGAGAGCAGCAGGGAGTCGGGAGAATGCCCGTCATCTATCTCAGGAATGTGAGAAGTTTCCTAGCCACTTACTCCTGCAGAGAAGGACACCAGAGCCACTCTGGTAAACCCTGACAATGCCTGGGAGCCCTTGCACATGTCAGAGACAACAGGGGTTCACTCTGGGTTGCCCTTGCCTAAACAGGCCTCTGTAGAGGAATTTTAGTTCAGAACATGGTTGTTCTGGCAAGAGATCACATCCAAAGACCTAGGTCTGTGTGATCTGGCTGGCAAGAGATCACACCCAAAGATCTTCTAGGGCTGTGTGATTGGTCTAGAATACAAACCATCCGTTACTCCAGGAGACAGGCAAGCAGATCTGAGTTCAAGGCCAGCCTGGTTGAGAGCAAGTTTCAGATAAAGAAAAGTTTAGGTCCAGGCCAGGTGGTACACACCTTTAATCCCAAGCAGTGAAGGTAAAGTTAGTTTGTAGGAGGAAGCACCCATGTTTGAAAGTGATAACTAATTGAGTGGCAGAGACATGATGAATCAGAGAAAAGACTTGACAGAGTAGGATACGTCCAGCTCTCTTGAGAAGAGAGAGGTAAGGGAAGCTACTTAAGGAGCAACACAGAATGAGAGAGAGAAAAAAATGGCAGTTCTACTGGAACAGTAATAGAGAGACAAGTTGCAGAGAGAGAACTTGCCTGAAGACAGAATGAGCCAGAGAATGAGAAGGAGCCAGGAGATTAAAGCAGATTGCTACAATTAATTGGAGGCAAGCAAAGCAATTCAGAGGTCAAGAGAAAAGTCAGCTGGGAAAGGAGTTTGAACCAGAACAGCTGAGTTGAACCAGCCAGCCCAGAACACAGTAAGAACAAGTAAGGGTGAGCCTCATTAAGCAGTAAGTCTCAGAGACAAAATATTCTAGCCTAGGTTAAATTGTATGGAGGCTAGAAGCTACTAGGACTAGGATAGCAGGAGGTGGCAGTAAGCCTCTCAGACAACAGCTACCTCAGGAGAATGAAAGATACTTTTATAGGCCTCACCCTCAACTTTGCCACGTGGAAGACCTTGGACAATTTATTTGTTTTTTCTAAGTGTCAGCTTTCTTATCTTTAAATTAAGAACAATGCTAATACCTGCCAGGAACATTGTTCTGAGTGAGCTGAAGTCATGCAAAGTTCTGGAACAGTGCCTGGTCCATTTACAAGGATTTGGGGTATTTTCTGTTGCAGTGACAAAACACTGTGACCAAGCTGACTAATAGAAGAATTTATTCCGGGGGGTTAAAGGCCATCATGGCAGCAGGCAGCAAACACAGCAGTAGAGAGAGTGAACTGGGAATGGCATGTGGCTTTTAAAACCTCAAAACCCACCCCAGCGTCACACTCCAATAGCAGGGCTACATCTCCTAAGCCTGCCCAGACAGTGCCACTACTGGGGACCAAGCGTTTAAACCCGTGAGGGCTGTTCTCATTCAGACATCTGAGTTCTGAGAAGCTGCTTGACAAGGTAGGAAAATGGTGTGATAACGAAGCTCTCATGTGGAAGAAAAGTACAGTTTTGCAATAATAAAGGGAAATTTGGCATTAAACAAGCCACTTAACACATTTTAAAGGAGTGTATCACTTAGATCTGACGGGTTTTTTTTTTTTTCTTTTATTCCAGCGACTTTTTGAATGAGTATGAGAAAGGAAGGACTCCCAACCCTGACATCATCTGCAATAAGCATATCAAGTTCAGTTGCTTTTATCATTATGCTGTGGACAATCTTGGTAAGAAATTAAGAATTCTTCATTTGCTTTTCAGACATAGTCAGAAGCCAGAGCCTTGTAGACAGTTTTGTCTTTCAGAAGGAAAGTACTCACTGAGTAAGAAAGAACTTTCAGAGTGAACATTAGGAGAGGTTGTCCTCCATCATGGGCAGGCAGCTGGCTTCACATTCCTGAGAGAAGGTGTGTTCGGCTATTGACCTAAAGGCTAAAAGGTGGCAGTACCCTATGCAGAGAACTCTCAGAAAGTGGGATTCAGATCCAAATCAGTAGTGACTCATCAGAAAGGATCATCAGTGAGGAGAACAAGACCAGCAGGAGTAGAAACCTGCAGGTCATCCATATCAGCTGGTATATGGCTGCCAGGCAGAAGGTCATAGCACACACTTGTAATCCTCGTACTGGGGAGGTGGGGCAGGACTGCTGTGAGTTTGAGGCCAGCCAAGCTTCATAGCACATTCTAAGCCCTCCTGTCCTATATAGTGAACCCTGTCTCAGTAAAGGAAAGAAAGATGGATGGTGGGCGGGTGGGTGGATGGACACATGAGCATGCCGGCAGGCTGACTTGCTCACAGCCAGGAGAGCACAAGATGAGAGTCAGCAGGCCAGGGCCCAGGAGCTTGTGTGTCATTTCACGACACTGGCAAGGAGAATACTGCTTAAACTGAGAGTCAGTGCTGTCTAGAATGCGACCCCCAGGAGCTCAGAGGTCACCTACCCTCTTAAATGCATTTGTGTTGAGGTTCAGCCAAGCTATATAATCTGTGTCATATCCTACCTGGTTCTCTGTTGGAGCATCTCCCTGCTTCTCTGAGTCCCTATTCTTTATTGGGTTTGAGGCCTGCACTAGGCTGAGGGTCAGACACCTGAAATCTAGGCTTCTGAGATAATAGGGCTCTCTTAGAAAAACCCCACACTTGTTGCAGTGCAGGTAACGGTCTGTAAGGGAATGTTCTGTAAGAAAATGAGTCAGGGTACAGTGTGTCCCTGAAGGTACAGTAGAGTGCTTGCATGCAGTGCTAAGTCTCTCAAGGCTTCCTGTCTTAGCTCATAGCCCAGGTGTTCAGGTCTGGGTCTGCTTTGCTGAGCCTTCCAGCTCAGCCTCCTGCAGTAACAACTCCTGAACTCCTCACAGTGGAAAGGTAGGATCATGTGGGCAGAAGAGATTAAATCTATTGCTTGGCCCTTTGGTATGATAATACGCACTTACTATACTGGCAGGTGAAGAAAGAGGGGCAGCATGTCCATGGTTTCAAACCAGAATCAAAGGAATAAGACGGAGGTTGTCCATTTTCTCCTGTCCACCAAGTCGTGGGTGTAGTATGACATCACTTTCCTCTGCTTACCTCTGTCAGTCAGTGCGTTGTAAGTGCCATTCCCACTGATGCTGTAGCATCAAAACTCACGTCCTCCTGCTGTTGAATATTTTGGTTTTCAATTTTGCCTTAGTATTGTAAAAACCTTGTTTGTACTGAAATCTTTGTGTGCGTAATATAGAATGAGGGAGCGGATCAATTCTGACTTTGGAAATGGCTTTTTAAAGATGAAAGGTTCTCTCAGCTCACGTTAGCAGTTGCAGGGAGCCTGCTTAGTGAGCTGTCACTCAGACCTCTGTGCTTCGTGCTCTGTGTCCAAGGTGAGTAGACTGTTGGCAGGTTTCAGTGAGGCTAGTTCTGCATGCTTCTTTACCTAGGCTGGCATCCTAGTTTACTTTTTTTTTTTTTTTTAATGTAGAAGCCCTCTATCCACATGTACAGCTACATGCCAGAAGAGTGCATCAGATTTCTTTATAGATGGTATGAGCCACTGTGTGGTTGTTGGGAATTGAACTTAGGACCTCTGGAAGTACAACCCCAGTGCTTTTAACTGCTGAGCTATCTCACCAACACCTAGTTCATTTTCTATTGCTGTGATAAAAATTATGACTGAAAGCAACTTACGGAAGGAAAGATTTATTTGGCTTACGTGTCCCAGTCATTAACAGGGGAAGCCAAGTTAGGAATTGGCGCAAAGACCACAGAGGAATGCTGCTTACTGGCTTACCCCCATCGCTTGCTCAGCCTGCTTTCTTATAAAGCACAGGACCATTTTCCCAGGGGTAGTATTGCCTACATCAGTCATTTATCAAGAAGATGACCCATAAGCTGGGTATGCTGGGACATGCCACTAGTCCTAGCATTTGAGAGACAGAGGGAGTTCAGGACCAGCCTGGTGTATGTAGTAAATTCTAGGACAGCTGGCACTATGCAGAGAGACCGTGATGAGAGAGAGAATGAGAATATGCCCTACAGACTTTGCTATGGACCAGTCTGATGGAGACATTTTAATTAAGGATTCCTCTTCCCAAGTGACTCCAGTTTGTGTCGAGATTTCAAAAACTAACCAGTACAACTGCCAGTAAATTTGAGTCTCACACTGGATCTTTGTGTTTTAAAAACCTTGCAGGAGCAGATGCTGTTGCCACTGGCCACTATGCAAGAACCTCACTAGATGATGAGGAAGTTTTTGAGCAGAAGCACATTAAGAGACCAGAGGGGCTGTTCAGAAATCGATTTGAAGTCAGAAATCGTGAGTTTGTGTGGGTGGCCATAGCTATAATCTGTGTGAGCACAGGAACACTCAGAAGGATGACAGACCTAACCTAATTCTGTGTGCTCCCAATTAGATGGTTTGTTTAGGTTCACATTTGCGAAGGCACAGGTAGTAGCAGAGTTGCTTCCCCAGTGGTTGAGCATTGAGATGTCCTGGTGAGAGCCAAGGAAGGTGAAAAAGAAACCTATCATTGAGGTTATTATATATTGGTAGCTTGGACTTCCAAAAATATCTGGGGAAACATTTGACAGTGATAATTGAAATGGTCTTCACAGGGTCCCAGACAGATGGAGAGCCACTTCCCATCTTGCATATATACATCTGTTCGTGTCAAGGACATGCTTACCTTTGTCTATTCCACACTTGTTCTGATTCTCATAAAATAGTCAGGCATCATGTTGAGTGACTTGCCTGTGGTAGTTTAATGATGTCTTGGTTTTCAGTGTGCATTTTAGGCAGCCAAAGCTGGTTTTTTGGCTTTGGTCTGAGTCCTAGGGCATCATGCAGGTGGAGGCAGAAGAGCTCTTGGTCTCTGGGGATGGCTGTAGTTTGTTAAGGACCTGACCTTGTAACCAGCCTCTTTCCATCTGAGCATGGTGCAGTGCCTGGCAAATAGAATAGCAGGATCCCAGAAACAAATGAATCTCCGAGCTTCGGAGATTCACCAGATGTTATCTCCATCCTGCTTTTTCCTTCTGTGGCATTTTTGCTGGTGTTACCAGCTTTCTATTTCAAAGTCATAGGTTTTCAGTGTTTTAAAATAATTCAGAAGGTAGGCATGGGGATGCATACCTGTAATCACAGCACTCGGGAGGCTCAAGAAACAGTCAAAAGAATCCAGGACAAAATAACTCAGAACCAAGAAAAAATGCACACAAACAGTATTTGAGAGAATTTTGTTTTGAAACAGATTAATTGTAGCCTTAGTTGCATTGTTTTTGACAGAGTGACAGGAGAAAAATGGGAGGCAGCTCAGTCCATAGCACAGCCTTTCAGCACCTGCATCGTCACGGGCCAGACCTTAGTTGTGGCTGTAAAGATGGGGCACATTCTCCATTACACAGAGACATGAAAGGCAGCGGGTAGGAACATGCAGGCAGTACGTGGTAAAGGCAAGGACCTCAGTTCAATCTCCAGAACCTATGTAAAAATGCCAGGCATGGTGGCATGTACATATAATCCCAACACTGGGGAGGCAGAGATGGGATAGTTGGTGACTTCTGGGCCAGTGGGAGACCATCTCAAAAAAAGAAAGTGGGTGACACCCTGAGGAGCAGCAGTTGAAGATGTCATCTGACTTCCACGCTCGTGTGTACTGGCACGGACAAGCTCTCACATGCATGTGCACATACAAAATTGAGCTGTTGTGTGTGGACTGCTCCTCGTTTCATTAATGAGGCGTCTCCTCATACTATGTGTGACAAGCCCTACCAGCCCACAGCCATGAGTGGAGCTGACTGTCTCATTGGGAAATATCCTGGCTGCCTTCTCAGAATCTAAAATCACCAGGGCCAAAATCACTCACACCTGTTACATGCAATAAGAATTTTTTTACAGTTATGTAGAGAATATTAGAGAAACTAAAGCAAGGCTGCTGCCAGATGTCAGTCTGGACATATAGCAAAGCTGTTTCCACCAAGGAGGAGAGTTCTACAGAGCCGTCTTCACCCTGTGGCTGGGCTGAAGGCCAGTGCCCTGTGTGTTTCTTTGCATACTTCACAGCTGCAGTTGTTAAGGAAACACACTGCTGACATAGTTCTGGATGAACTGTCTTGTCCAGTCTCCCAGATGTGACTATATTTATTTTGGACCATTGATTCTCATTTCACTTTTTTTTTTTTTTCATATAGTGTTTGATGTTTGAAAGTCTTATGATCAAAATTACAAGCAGGAATAAGTTCTGTATGTAAAAATATACCTTCCCTGTATTGTTCCTGGTAGGTAAACCAGGGGCCAGACTTTTCAGTACATTAAGCTGTTTTTTTTTTTTTTTTTTTTTCCATATTCTTTTGAGATGGGTTTTGCTTTGGCAGACTGGGGTAACACAGAAGGGCATTAAAAGCAGAGAGTCATTATCTGTGTTCCTGCAATGACTTTTGTTCTTTACTCTTGGCAGCCGTAAAACTTCTCCAAGCAGCTGACAGCTTTAAAGACCAGACCTTCTTTCTCAGCCAGGTTTCCCAGGATGCCCTGAGAAGAACCATCTTCCCCCTGGGGGACCTAACAAAAGATTTTGTAAAGAAAATAGCTGCAGAGAATAGACTCCATCATGTGCTTCAGAAGAAAGAGGTAGGAGTGAGCAGCTTGCCATTGATTTGTGAATGTGTCCACCTATGTTGTCATGGTATATAGGCAGGGCAGGGCTCTCTGGATCCTTTGCCAGGGTCCCATCAGGCCACGGCACAGAGCACAGTTGCAGATGAGCAGCTGAGGCCTTCTTCCTCCTTCCTCTTGTGCCTGCTGTCTCAGCGGACATGGTAACTGGCTTAGCCAGTCAGGTGAGTGTGGACAGGAAACAGCCATGCTGGTCCATCCCGAGACAGGATCTGTAGAGAGTGCTGCCTATCCAAGGAGACCATAACAGCAGAAGTACATCTCTGCCTTCTCAGAGCTCCCTGTAGAGGGACAATCATACACCTGCATCTTGGAAACCGTGCTACCCGCTGTGGAGGGAGAGCTGGGATCCTGTGAGAAACCCTGGTAGTTCAGGTTTGATTAGAGGTTGGTTCAGCTGTAGCTCCCACTTATGCCAGTCTTCTGGGAACATGCATGGCTGTGCTTTCTATCAGCAAGGCCACATTGCCAAAGAGAATGTCCCTTGCCTGTTCTGCATCTTCCATGTTGCTCAGTTGACAGAATTTCTCAATGGTAGGAACTGAGAGAGTCCCAGCAATATATGGAGCCAATCCCTAGTCATGTGACCTATGTTATAGAGGGACACACACACACACTGAGGAATAATTGCAGAGCTGCTTGCCCAGCCCAGTCCCAGGAAGATCAGCTTCTTGCCTGGTCTCCTGTGCAGGGCTTAGCCAGCTGTAGCCAGTCTCCTTCCTGATTTCCCTGCTTTCTGCTCTTACCTTGGTCCCTGGCTCTCGAGTACTCAGCAGTCTAGATTGCTATCCTGGATTGCTCATATGGGTTTTCCAGCACAGTCATGGTGGTCCTGCTTTGTGATTATGTGAACAGCTCTCATGTGGTCCTCAGTCAAATGATGCAGTCTGTTTACATATCATCCACTTTGGAGCCAGACTTGGCAAGACAAGATATTCTCTAGGCTCAAGTTCTGTTTGTGTCTGTGTTGAGCGCTGAGGTGTCCTGCAACACAGCCTGCTCTTTGCCCTCCTGACCCAGCCTGGTTTTCTGTTCCCTGCTTTGCTCCCTGGCTTCTGCTCACATCATGTTGGCCTTCTTCTCGTTCCAGAGCATGGGCATCTGCTTCATTGGTAAAAGAAACTTTGAGCGTTTCATTCTTCAGGTGAGTGTCCTCTGACATGAGTAGCCGTCTGCTCTGGGACTGGTCTCCAGTACTGATGAAACTTGTCTTCCAGTATTTGCAGCCTCGGCCTGGCAAGTTTATTTCTGTCGAGGATAATACAGTTCTGGGAACACATAAAGGTGAGTCCTGCCAGCTTTGGGAACCAAAGGCCAGGGCTAGCTCCCATCCATTCCATGAAGGGCTCATGGAGGACTCAAGGGGTAGGCTGGGTGGGTACATATTGCACGTGCAGTCACTCTGACAAGAGCTTTGTGCCCCTGTGTTGCTGTATTTTATAAACACGGAGTTAACCCCTAGATGCAGAGCTGGACTCTGCGTGTGGTACATTGCTAAAAGTAAAGTGTTGATGCTTTGGGAGACTGCAAGAAATGCCATTGGAGAAAGAATGTAGCTGGCCTTGGAGCCAGGTGACTGAGAACCACACGATAGCTGTTCACATAATTACAGAGCAAGACCACCATGACCTGCACTGTGCTCCGTGTGAGGACAGGGGAAGTCCCAAGTGCTCACAGACCTTATGTGGGGACAGGCAGTATAGGCTGGAGGGGACATGCCTCCTGAGACTTGACATCTAGACCTGATCTGTGAGACTAGTTGGAAGGACAGGGTACACTTGTTTTTTTCCTGCCATGTGTGGTTCCTGTGAAGGGAGCCGGGCTCCCTGAGAGTAGGGAGAGACCCGGCTGAACGGTGTTCTAGTGGAGAAGAGAACCTGGCTGGAGACAGTGCTGCTGTCCCTAGCAGGCAGCAGTTGGAGACTCACGCCACAGTGCGTGTATTTCTGCGGAGGGAGGGCTGGTGAACGGTGGGTGACAGTACAGCTTCGAGGAGTGCGCTCAGCAGGCCCAAGACCGGCTTTGAGAGCCGTAGTCCCCGGAAGGTCAGAGCCGCCAGATGAAGGAGCTGGCATTAGTGCCAGGCTCAGGTCCATCCTAGTCATTGTCATATCCCTCAAGTCCTGATCCTGAGGCAGGATGGACATGGGTGTTGTGGTTAGGGCTAAGAGCCCCTCGAGCCGAGAGAATCAGTTTCAAGTAAGCATGCCTTATAGCGATCGGTAACCTCCCATTTGTGAAGGCTGAAATGTGCCCTCTGGAACACTATTTCCTAGGCTGGTTCCTGTATACTTTGGGCCAGAGAGCTAAGATCAGCGGCTTGAGAGAGCCCTGGTACGTGGTGGAGAAGGATGGCACCAAGGGTGACGTGCTTGTGGTGAGTGAGGTTGGCCTTCGCTGTCTAGTGTGCCAATAAAATGAGCAGTACTGGCATTTCTAAGGGCCTGGAGCAGCAGACCTGTCCTCCACAGCTTCCTGGGACAGGTGGAAGGTAACAGGTCTTCATATAAAGATAGGTTCCTATTGTATGCTGGCAATGTGCCAATCATTGCATCCATTCCTAGAAAAACTGCCCTGTTTTACAGAGGAGGATGAGACTCTGATTGGGTAACTTGCCAAGGCCTCATGGAGAAAAGGTAGTCACAGTGCCCAGATAGCCCTCCCACCCACAATCTATAGAAGGGTCCTATAAGTAAGTCCTTGTGGGACAAGGTAATTAGGCTAGAACATGGTTATGCCCCGGACTACATGCCTCCCCCACCTCCTGAGCCATTCTGCTATGCCCTAGGCTCTGGGGCAGAAATTCTCCAAGAGAGCTTTCCAGATATTGATAGTAGCAAGAGATATTTTGGGTTATGAACTAGGTGGAGATGGAGAAGTTGGTGCTGCTGGCATTCTGCCTCTGCATACACAGCAGCCCCAACTCATTGAATCCAACTCTCAGGCGTTGAAGAGTGAGAAGCCTGCTTGGGGCAGGCTGAGCTGCCAGCTAGTGTAATCAGAGACAGACACTGGAGCACAGGCCACAGACATCTTTCCAGAAGAGCAGTGTGGGAACCGCCTCCCCAGGCTTGGGTTAAGATGTTTTTAGCATAAGCTCTCAGAAATGCCTGCTAAGAAAAGCCAAAAGGGTCATTGGCTCAGATAGTTTCAGGATCTTAGCACCTGAAGTCTCAGTTAGTACTCCTGGGTCCCCCTGATGGGAAACTCGGCACCCTAGGCAACACCAGGGTTCTTTGATGCAGGGACTAGTGGTGATGGAACAGGAAGCTGAGAAGCAGTCATGTGTGTATGTGTGATAAACTATCCAGGTCAGGCCAGTCTCACAATCGTGAAAACACGAAGGTGGTTGGGGACTAGCACCCTTCAGCTCCTGCTTTTCTCAGCCAGTTATTGCTGGTGGGATCCATGGCCCTCTCAAGAGGCTATTTGTGTGTTTGATCTACATCTCTAGGAATAGAAAACGATCTTCAAAGCATGATGGGGTTGTGGGAATGACTAGAGGCGGGGGAGGGAATCTCATCCTTGCCCCTTGCTACTGCCTATGGCCATCCCTTTTTGTTCCTTTTTTTCTCTCATCTTAAAACCAGAGTGACTAAACCCTTAAGCTGATGAAACGGATTTCTGACACACGCAGCTGAGTGGGGCCAGCCTACAATTAGTTATGGATGTGCTGATACGTTTGTTCTTATTGATAACTGCTGAGGGATGCTCACCTCAAAGGCATCACAACATCTGTATTCTGCTCTGCAGGCTCCCCGGGGAGACCACCCTGCTCTGTACAGGGACCTGCTCAGGACCAACCGTGTACACTGGATTGCCGAGGAACCACCTGCTGCCTTGGTCAGAGACAAGATGATGGAGTGCCATTTCCGATTCTACCACCAGATGGCACTAGGTGACTGGATGGGAGGGGTGCTTGTTGCTAAGCTCCCGGTCAGCTTAAGCTAAGCCAGAGAGACTGTGTACACTTTCAGTATTCCCTTGAGCACACCAGAAAGTCCCCACCATTCCTTTTGTTTAACTTCAAAACTACTAGTCCTGTGCCTGCCACAGAAGGGGAACTAAGGCACAGAAATGTTTTGTCAGAGTTGCTGGGAAGTTGGGTTACCATATTTGCTATTCTGAGGTGTCATGTCCATAGCCAGGGCAGCTTTGAGCCCTTTTGGGTACTGTCCTATCCTTCAGTAGGAGAGATGTTGGGTGTCCCTGCACCCACAGGCTGCTTATTCTCCCAGGGGCTGTGGTTGGCAGTGAAAGCAGGCCCACACCCACTTCTTAACTCTCTCCACAGTGCCCTGTGTGCTGACACTCAATCAGGATGGCACTGTGTGGGTGACGGCTGTGAAGGCTGTGAGAGCCCTTGCCCTGGGACAGGTAAGGCAGTGAGGAAAGAGCGCCCGGTGGGAGGTAGAGCAGGGGCCTAGACATTGCTGTCCTCATTTGGCCAACTCTGTCCTGGCGTCTGAGACACACACACAGTGAGCTTTTTCTACCCCTTTCTTTCCAGTTTGCAGTGTTCTACAAGGGTGATGAGTGCCTTGGCAGTGGGAAAATCCTACGGTTAGGGCCATCTGCCTACACACTCCAGAAGGGCAAGAAGAGAACCGGAGTGGCTCCTGAGGTCTCCAGTGACAGCCCTGGCCTGCACCCTACATCCTGACAAAGGCCAAACTGCTAGGAGACGTTAGAGCAGAGTCTGGGGCAAGTTGGTCAGTGATGGGCTTGGTGCTGCTAGAAGACAATGGTCTGGCTGGCTGCAGAGCCATGGCAGCCTGAGGAAGGAGTATCTCTGTGCTGGTGCTCCAGTAAGCCTGAAGCAGATGCTGGCTGCTGGCTTCGCCTTGAGGGTCCTGCTGAAGCTCCCCCAAAGGAGGCCTCCACAGTGTGTGAGGGTTGTGAAGGAACAGAATCAAATAAAACTATCAAAATCTGACTACTGTGTCTGGGGCTTGCTGCAGGCCTGAGTGGGCTGCTGTGGCTGTGCTCCTTACACTGAGCCCCCAATCATGTGTCACAGCAGGCATGAGGAGTTGCTATAGCCTCTTTCTCCCCTCCCTGGGGCCTGAGCTCTCTCCAAAGGGAAGGCAGAGTTATCTGTAGTAGGTCTGTCCTTGTCTAGATTCTGACGAGTGAGATAACCCTTTCCCTGGCAGTGCCCATGTTAGGAGGAAGCCAGTGTTTTCCTGTTAGCCTGGCACTGGGGTGGGAGTGGGGATTGAAGTGAACACGTTACTCTAGAAGTGCACAAGCGTATCCGAGGAAAAACCACATCAGAAGATGTCCTTTATCTGGGGTGTGCGTGGGTTACAGGCCTGGGATGGCTCCTTGTGCAGCAACACCAGGTGGAGACCCTGGGGAAGGGGACCCCTGGGCCATAGGGAAAGAAAGGAGTACCCACTACTCTGCTCCCAGTTTTTCCCAAGGGTAGCACCACTGAACAGATATATGAAGCAACACAGCGGGACAGAAGTCTTGGAAACTCACCTTTCTGGACAGGAATCAAGATAAATGACCTAAGAGGTGAGGGCTGGATTCAGTAGTGGCTGGAGCCTAACCAGGTTGCTGCAAAGTTAAGATGAGGTTTTAAGCATGCCCAGGCTCCAGAGAAATCAAGATGCCACTGGAGTGTTCAAAGCCAAGAGAAAGACGATAGATGGAGCCTTAAGGTCACAGCTGAATACAGCACCAGAGAGGGTGGAACACCAATCCACTGTGCCTAGGAGATGAAGGTGAATGCAGAGAAGGAACCACCATGAGAAAACAGACTATAAAATTGAAAATCACACTTAAAATGTCAGAAGCTCACCAGATGGGCTCAGTAGCGCAGTGTAGATGATGGGAAAGAATGAGGGAGCATCAAGACCCTCGTGGGTACTCAGATCTGCAGAACAAGAGGGCTTGGGGGCCAGCGGGGTATCCGAGTAGCACTCAAGTGAGGTGCCACAACAGTACAAGGAGGGAAAGAGCGAAGGAGGGTTGGAGACTGCAGCGAGCCATGGGGCCTCGGTGCTTACAAGTGCCTGCTGTGTAGATGAGGACTGGAACTTCGCCCCAGCATGCACATAAGCTGCTATGTGGCCTCATGTGCCTGTAGCCTTATCCCCTAACGAGCAGAGATGGGAGGGCTAGTGGGGAGCCCCGCTGGCTTCCAGTTTGACTGGAGAACAAACATGAGCCCCAGGATCAGGGGCAATCCTGCTGCAGGTGGGTGGGGTATGGTATAAAGCACTGACCCTTTTCTGGTCTCTACACAAACTCTTTTTTTTCTTTCTGTGTCCCCTGGGCTGGAGAGAAGGCAGCTCAGTGCTTAAAAGCACTGACAGAGACATGCAGAGAGAGAAAATACCCATTCACAGAATTAATCCTTTTAAATTCTCAGATTTGATTAAAAAAAAAAAAAAAAAAAAGACAGACTGAAGAACTGGAAAACTTGGGCAAGTCCTTCCATGTCATGGCAGGCCTGCACATAAATGGATACTCCATGGGCCTGTCTGTCTCCTGGATCCCACATGAGGCCTGAGGCTGTCTCTATCAGTCCTTCCTGTGCTACCTTAGAGCCAGCGGGGACAGTAAACACCCAGCACAGCATGGATACAAATCCAAAAATCTTAATTTATTATAGATGCAGCTCACCTGTGTTGTCATCCAGTGCTGAACAGTAATAAATACACCTGGTAAAAACCTCCAGTGTCAGATCAATCAAGTCTCAGGTCATAAAAACAGTTTAAAACTGACAGGTTTTGTTTTGGTAACAGTAGTCTTCAAATTAACAACTCCACCTTCTGGAGTGGCATGGGGTCATGGAATTGGGCGATCATAGTGTTCCACCTCCCCTCAGCCTGTGCAAGGTTGTATCCTTGTCATCCTCAGGCCACCTTAGGGCCTCCCCTCAGCCTGGTGGCAGTGAGTGACCTCAGACCATGCCATGTAGGCTTTCCTCTCTCACAAATCCATCATTAGCAGTCCTGTGCACTCATGGGAGCAGAGCTTGCTGTGAAAGTCCTTGCATGGCTTCCTGGTTTAGCTCTCCCATTTGAGAGCAGCTCTACATCTCAGCCCCAGGCACCTGCTTCAAACAACAGTGAATGCCGAAGTACACGTCTGAGTAACTCTGGGCCCCAGTCCCCTGGGTTTGGCTGCATGGTGGCTCGTGGTGGGCTGGGCATAGCAGCCCTTGGTGTGAGTTTCCAAAAAGAATTTGGTAACCAGTGAAGAGGGCTGTGGCTTTGTTTCTTTGCACAATTGGCCATTTGAGGCAAAACGATGTTATTGGTCAGATTTCAGGAGTGGAGCCCCTGCCTGCCCAGAATGCTCTGGAGCCTGAAAGAGTAGAACATTGGCAGGAAGGAATGTGACACTGTGGAAGAAAGACCTCAGGGCTCCCTCCAAATCGGCAACACCGAGCACTCTTAAGATCCTATGGAAACAGGAGCAGCGACAAAGAAATTCTCCGGTGCACTGGGCTGACTGGGAAGGGCTCCAGAATAGCCCCACTGGATCAGGAGCGGATCTGGGCCTGGGGGTGGGGGGCTGAGTGGTCGGGATTTCACACACACCTATGAAGTCAGCTGTAGCGGCCCCACTTCACAGGCCAGCCCCATCCCAGATCCATGGAGCCGAGAGCACGCACAGCACCTAGGCTGGGCTCCGAAGGCCAGTGGAACACCCATGCTCCCTGGCTGGAGGCAGCCGCCAGAACTATATCAACTTCACAGCCCATGTGCTCCCTACCTGGGCACTGCGACCAGCTGTGTTGACTCATTCCAGGGTCAAGTACAACTGTGAGCTTCCTTGGGCAATATATCGAGATGCCATTTCATGGCTCTCCCGTGTCAGCAAAGTCAAGACATTGCAAAATATATACAGATTCCCATCTTCTCCAAGTCCAGGGCAGATTTGTACGTATTTACAATTTTAAACAGCAATTTAAGACACGGGGTGCCTTTGCAGAGACTGCAAGGCTGGTGACTATGGGCTTGTACTGCAGGAGATGCCTGCAGGGACAGCTGGGCCTTGGCCTGTGTCTGGTATCTCTAAACTCTGGCAAGGCAAAGGGCCTGGCATAGTGATTCTCCAAGTCCAGTTCAGGCTCTCTGGCTTCTGTGCGGGGCCACTTGTGGCCAGGTCAGCAGCAAGGTTTGCCTTCTGTCTGCAGTCTAAGGACGGAGCTGTGCCAGTCTGAAGTCCACGACTCCCTCTTGAACCATGCCTGTAGCTTTGGCACTTGTCACAGAGTCTGGGCCCTGAGCTCCTGCGAGGGCCAAGGGCTTCTGCCTGGACATTCTGTGTAGAGCCGGCTGCTATTGCAGGGGCCCTCATACAAAGGGCCTGCTTGCCCCATAAGCATCAGTCCCAGGCTTCAAGGTCCGAGGGCTTGACTGGCAGTCTGGGGTTGACTGTGCCTCATGGTTTCCTGATGGTTCAAATTGAAGTTTCATTACTGCCTCTGTGTGTGGGAAGAATTGCCAGGCGTGTGGAGGGTCAGTGACAGTGGCAATCGGTTGTATTCCAAAGTCATTCAGGGGCAGATACTCGCATTCAGGTGCAAGGGGAAGCCTGGGGGCGCTAGGAGTCCTGGATGGGGAAAGCTGGTGGCTCCCACCCTCCCAAGGGTACTTACTCTGAGTCAGAGCCATTGGCCTGGGCACTCCCTGTGCATACACTCATGGCCACCCCGTTGAGATGCTCGCGGCCTGGCTCCCTCCTTGGAGTCTTGATGGTGATGACACAGTCGGTGGCATGAACACCATCACCAGAGCCCAGGGAGGATGTTCGGGAGGATGCGGGGCTTTGCTCACAGTCGGCCAGCTTCTCTCGCAGCCGGCACTTCAGTGGCTGCTCTGGCAGTGGTGGTGGGTAGGTGACTTTGTTTTTCAGGATGCCTGACAGGATGGAGGTGACCACCAAGTTAGTTCAGGCAGACCTGGGTGCAGTGGCTCAACTGGGGATGGGTGGTGTTGAGTAAGAGAAGGCACCTGGCCTGGTTCTTACCAACTTGCCCAGGCCCCACCCAAGCCCTCCACAGAACTCCCCTCAGCCTGCTAAAAAAAAAAAAAAGGCTCCTGCCCTGTCCTCTGTGCTAGGAAAAGGTTTGCTCCAGTGACAGACAGCAGGGCCCTCCTCAGGTACCTTTCCGCTGCTCCTGGGGCTGGCTGCTGAGCAGAGCCACTGGCTTAGCCAGCACCCCACTTTCCAAGTCAGGGGGCCGGTCGCCACAGTGATTGCCCTGCGCCTGCAGGTGTAGCTCCACGCTGACCTTGGTCTCCACCTTCAGGTGGGGCTCAGTGTCCAACTCTTCACTGTCGCTCCCAGCCAGGCTCTCATCGGGCCAGCCAGCTGGGACATGGTTGGCTAGAGCGTCTGCTAAGAATGACATTTGGTTAGACTTACAGCCACACTCCCATCATACCCAAGGCCTGGTAGACTCTGAGAGTGGCCCTGACCTCATCTCTGGTTTACAGGACTGGCAGGGCCACAGTCTAAAGATGGAGAAACCGAGGCCACATCTTGGTGTTGGGGAGCCTGGGATAATGTGAGCCACACTGCTGCACCCAAATTCCTGCCACTGCCCAGCAGATGGTGTGCCAAATTTCCTAGGGTCTGTGTTCCTGTCTGAGCTGTCCTGTGTGGCCATTACTCTGCTGGCCAGGTCTAGGGGACACCAGCCAGAATTGAAGCGTGACCATATCCCACAGGTAACAGTCCACTCTGGCATTCTGTGTGTCTCCACTGCTCACCCTTTGGGGTGCTGTGGACAGGACCACCAGCTGGGCTCCATTTGTCTTCAGCTTCCCCACCATCGTCCTCGCTATCCGATGTGTGTGAAGAAGCGTAGGAGCTACTGTGGTCGTCCAGGGACAGCTCACTGTCGGAGTCAGAGTCGGGGCCTGCAGGGAGTCAGGGCAGGGTAGGGAGTTCAGGCCAACTCCGACT